ACGACCCCTATTCATCCCGTGGGTGTCGTAAGAGTCGACTAAGGGAAAAAACTACGAAGAACAACAGCACTCCAGAGAGAAGGAAACTTGACACAAACTATACCAACCCGTCTGGCCAGCGTGGTATAGTAGGCCAAAACCTCCTTTCTAAGGAGAGGCTTATGTCCAGCAGTGGACTGTTAAAGGCTGTTGATTTGTGATGTGATGTGAATCAATTGTAAAAACGGACGGTGTATCATGGACTATAATATTCCATCTATCGTCTAATATTAGCTATGGTGACATAAGCTTTTAATCAGGCGAGCGGTATGCTTGCTTCGTTACTAAATTGATTGGTATTGGTAGGGGACTCCAGTTTCAACATTCAGTATGGAAATATATGTTTAAAACAGTTTAATATCGCATCCACCAAACGTGACGTGTGGGTGCTATTAATTTTGCACCTAACTATGTATCGAAACAACGTTGTTTGCCTATTGCACTAACACAATAGAATTTAATGTAACGTTAATCTGTAGAACAACGTTGAGCCAATCAAATGTCACAGAAACAATAAGAATTGAAGGTAACTTATTTCGTCAATATTAACTTTTTCGTCGTTCAGACATCTTGACACACATTCTGTTTTTAACCAAATACAAACAATCACTCACCATTTTATATTCGTAATCAAAAGCAGCGCAATAAAAGACTTTTTAAACATCTACCTACATAAAGAGTGCATAGTTCAGGGTTCATGAATGAATGTGAGTTCCGTCACTTCAAGATAACTTCTAAATGACTGAACAGTTTGAAATCTTTTCGAAATATTTCGAATGAACTAAAACATCGGAATAACCATAAAAAATATAGTGCGGCTGTATGTGCGTGTATTCGTTATATGGCAGAGCAGTTTCTCCCGAGTGGGAAGTCTTCTTGTCTTATCACCACTCCTTTTTTGGCGCCTAATTGGCAAGAAGAGAGACGAGTTCATATACAGAAATCTCATAAATACTCAAAGCAATAGGGTTTATGTATGACCTAACATATCAATTCTCTTCGTTGACAACCTCGCCTGACCAGACCATGTTCATTTTAAGATGCACTAGTTTAGATAATAGAAATATAAAGAACCTTTCTACTTATAACATCTGTAATAACCTTATTTCGAGCAAACAAATTAATCCAATCGAGGGGAACAAAATTGTTTTGCCCACGCGCCGATGGGTTGGTATCATCAAGACCAATCATTTTGCATATTTCTCTTCTGAAATCAAAGAACACACAATACCTGTCAAAATCTTCTATCACAATATTGCATTCTAAACAAGTGTTACACTGATTTAGGAATAAATTAGACTATCAATACAAAACATTTAGGTATGCTAAATGTGCGCAACATTGTGTCGGAACACGTCGTACGATTGTTTATTGTTCTACTGCTTTTAGTACAATTATCGAACTGTTAACTTGCGCACGCGCCTCCCATTTAGCCGCGACGGCGCGTCTTGCATCACCATCAAGTGACCTAGTGACCGATCTCTCTGATCACTGTTAATTCATATATGATGTTGCCACTGACATAAGTAGCTACCACATATTATGGTCGATTTTACTATAGTGTAACAGAATCATGTCTCATTTTAAACACAAATAAATAAAATTGAAGTGTCAGTTTGAAAAGGGTTTTTCATGCTCACAAGGATAACCTTGTAACCTTGTGTAAAATTGGTACAGCCGTTTTAAAGATTACCCGAAATAAACATAATACCTATATAAATGCACGATACCTATGCCTAAAAACCAGTTTAAATTTTTTTGTTTGTCTGTCTTCTGTTTATGTTTGTTTCGGGCAATCTTCAAAACAGCTGTACCGATTTTAATAATATTTTTCTACTAGGTAGCTGTCTATATAAGGAGTAACTTAACTGCACCAGGGACTTCCTTTCTAGGGTATACCTGGTTCCCCGGCTATTAGTACCCGAGACGGCGTGCGGTTTTAGTCGGTTCGAGTCCGACGTGTCACCGATAGGTGGTATCCGAGGGGATTTCCGCACGGGAAAAAAAGGAGTAACTTAACAAAACCCCAAAACAAAAACCCTATAAAATTTTGCCCGGTCCGGGAATCGGACCCACTAAGTCAGCGCTTTTCAAATTCCATCGCAGTCACCAGCTAGTATTAAATAAAATAATAATAACTTTATAGATCTTACAAACGGCTATCTGGTCCCAAACCAGGCAGAGCCTATGGTATCCGGACTGCTGATAAACATACTTATAAATTTCTAAATAAACTATACCCAGACAGAACAAATAATCGAGCTCATCACACAATATTTGCCCTGGAATCCATCTCACGACCTCTGACTAGTTAGAATCGCTAACCACAAGACCAACAGGCCAGTCGTGGTCACAAAACCTCTTAGATCTCCCTCCCCATCCCCCCCATATAATATTACTTTCGTCTACTTACATAAGACTTTAAACTGGGTACTTGCTCTGCCCATGATATTAATTTCACGCATTGGGCTATAATCTGCAAGAGGTACTTGAGAGATTATATCTCGTTTATCAGCAGTATAGTAATTAATGTACTAACGGTGTTAATTTATCGTGTAATCATCTAGGAACTAGATCGCTTTTATACTAAAGGCTATTAGAGAGGATTACAGTGACTTAGCTTAGCTTGACTTCGTCTTCTATTTGATCTGGAAAGGCTATTTTAGACTAATTAGTCTAGGCGACTTCTTTTCACATTTAAAACATAAATGTTGGCGAATCTACTCCCCTGTTGATGCAGTGATGAGGATAAAGATACATTTTTTTGTTGTGCCGATGTGCCGTGTAGTGACGGATTAAGAATACGGAATTTGTCCACCCCGATTCATTCCGTGGCTGTCGTAAGAGCCGAGTAAGGGAGCAAATTACGAAGGACAACAGCACTGCAAAAAGCAGGAAACCTGGACACAAACTATACCAACCCGTCTGGTCAACCCTTGTGGGTATACTAGGCCAAAACCTCTTTTCTAAGGAGAGGCCTATATCCTGCAGTGTACTTATAAAAGCTATTGATGTGATGATGTGTGATGTGTGTATAATTATTTGTTCTGTGTCTGGATGTAATTTATCTAAAATATACAATGTATTTAGAAATATATGTGTCTGATTGACATCTATTACGTAAGTGGGAATCAAATTTAACAAAATGTGGCAAACACACCCCCATCTAACCCTTTGGAGATACAGATGTGAGTGTATGTATGTATATTACTATTGGCTAATTAGTACGTTAATCATGTCCAAAGCATATTAGGAAATCTCTTTTCATCCCTTATTACTACAAACCTCTTTGTTAGCACTTATTCTTGTAAAAGAAAGATCGATCCTCACTATGACCTATTTAGTTATTTTTGTTTTATCGTTATCTATAAACGCAATGAGCTATCAGCTTTCATATCGTGTGTTACAAATCATTGTTTTATGTTATCAAGGTTCATCATTTGTCAGGTTTGGAGCGCTTAATGAAGATATGTATTGACATGGCTCCCTTAAATTAAAACCACTCCTGTCACGAACTTTCCAAGCGCTGTATTTTCTGATAAAACATCTTGTACGTTATGGTACGGCACTGCTTCTGGCTATACGTAGATTCATCTGCTTGTACTCTTGTTTGTCCTTTGTCAAATAAACCATTTTGTGCTGGATCATATACTAATACTTTGCCGTTATCATTTCGGTTATAGCTATGGTAAAGCTTCTTGTACAAGACACGTGACTGAAATAGCTCATGGAATACGGTTGGTATGGACTGACTGACACTCCAGTCCGTCTTCTACTTGGCTGTCTGTCATAGATCTCATCATTAATATTATCGTAATTTATCACCACCATTCATACGATGCTCGTATAATCGTGTTGGGTAATAAAACTATTCAACAAAATGTAACAATCCAACGCAAAGTTCCACATGGCTTTTGATTAATACAGCGTCTTGGATAAATGCGTATATTTAGACTTGACATATTTAATTTATTATTTCCAGCGACAAATTGATACTATCAATGTAATTGGCGTGATTAGATAACGTGTATGTTGATAGCTAAATGACGACAGGACACCTCGCGCTACACTTGCCGGAATTGTATCAAATACATACACCTATTTATACTCATGCCTTTTTCCCGAAGGGGCAGGCGTACACGTATGAATCTACATTTTGCACACTATAGTTTTAGACTCACTGAAAATCAAGGAAAAAAATTGGTTGCCTGTAAAGTCGGTATACGGGCGAAAGTTTTACGTGACAACGACTTTGAGTGGTAAAATAATTTTAATGTGAATATTCATTCGTATAGTAGGAAGAAGGATGAAATAATAGTAACAATTTAAAACATTTATTTATACAAAGAATTATTTATGTCTGTCTCTCTCGCTCTTAGGCGGGCTAACCATGCCCGAGTGGAAGGGACGCGTGCCTCTCACTCGCTCTCATTGTGAGCGCATAACGTGAGCGGAGCGTAACGCAGTTTCTTGAAGTGTCACCCGGCAAACCAATTTATAAGACGTTGTCACGTCAAAATGAAAGGAATTTAGATAAGATGGAAAAGCAATGTTTTAGTAAGAATGTCCGAACCCACATACCTACTACAGGATACTCTATTTAACTAACTAACTTAATTACAATCTACATTTTCTTGTTATAAGTTCTTACCAACGTATCAACAGCTGACCCGGGCAGCTCTACTGTGGGAAATTAATGTACTCCTACGTCAGGAGGCACCTTTTTGTTAAATTTCTATTGAAAGTTTCTGAAGACATTCGTTGAGCATTAAATCAAACTCTAATCGCTGAAAGGAATCGGTCGAATTGGAGACACAGGTTGAGTGTAAAATGGAATATCGCTAGCACATTGACACAATACTTTGATATCTTGGTACCGAGATGTTCGTGGAGTGGGTGCGCGTTGACAAACCACTAATGTTAGATGAACGAAATTAATTGAGTTTATTTTTGTGTTTCAGGGCTACGCACCCTTATACGATCCATTTGAGCAGTTCTTCTCTCGATACGTGTACCGGCGCGTAAAGCACTGCTTCAACAGACCAATCTGCTCGGCACCAGGCGCTGAGGTTATTCTCAAAGAGCGTTGCAGCGATGATCACAACTGGACGTTCAGGTACATATTGCATAAAGCTGAATCTTTTCCACAGCTACCAATACTGAATAGGTTTTCCTTAACCCCTTTTTAGGTACGCAATATACATATGAGCGATATTCCCGACCCGACAGAACCCCTGTGCTAAAATGCTCAGGAAGTTGTACTGCACAGTTGTGTGAACTGTACCCTATAGTAATACATGTATATTTACTTTAAATATACAACATAATGTCCTCGACTATGTTCTGTTGTGCAGCAGAACAGAGTCTAGGAGTATATGTATATATGTGTATGAGTTACTGGGTTGTAAGATTTAGTGGGCCCAGGGGCTAACACATACGGATACTTAGAAACAACTAGTTCAACGAGTACGTTTGATAAAAGTTATGTATTTGTATTCTTGTATTTGTATTAATTGAAGAGGGAGTAATACCTGAACAAGTCAATTCTTTAAATACCGAATATAAAAAAATGACTAAAGCAACAGTCACTATTTGATTTTATCGTGAGTACTCAATAATTGTACTAATTTTTTTACTACCACCAGAGACAAATACTGTTCTTCTTATAAACAGTTATAACGTCACTCACTAACAAATCCAACATATATATAAAAAAAAAAGCCGTGTGGTGTCGTGGGACACCCGATAGGAACGAAGTTGTGACGATTGAGTAAAACTGATTCGACACGATTTTAATTACAACGCCATCTATGAAAGCGGCTATTACCTACATATTTTTCAGTTGGTTTCTAATTAAAACAATTTATACATTGGTAAAATATCCTTGAGAAATGATGTCGAATACAATATTTTTTGCTCAACCTAAGAACATAAATTTTAATTTTACTGAGATGAAAAGTAATAATTTCCTATCTATTCGATAGATGGCGCTGAATGACTGACAAGTGACAATTCAAAATAAAAAGTGTCGTTACAACTTTTCGTGGGTTTTTTTTCCGTCTAGCCCCCTTTCACAACGCGTGATAAGGAACTTCGTTCCAATATATATTTGCAATAAAATCATCAGTTTAAAATGAGTTGTGAAGGGATCTGAAGGTCAATTCTCGTAATAAAAATTCGTTCAAAATTCAGCTCTGATCTACTCTCGATCCTTGAAATGTCATTAATAATGTCATAAAATATATTCTCAATATTCTCATACTCAACCTACACATTATGAGGAAGGTTTTATACTATTCTTTTCTGATAGAAAGAGACGCGATCCTATAATATTTGCATCCGTAATTAAATTTATGTGTAAAATGCGTTGATGACAAATGACGAAGATGCTAATTCCTATAGGTATTCCCTTGTTCATAACTGTGATTCCTGTATAGAATGTCAAACGTACTGGTAGTAACTAGGTTTCTACTGATCCGACCAACAGCGTACCTACATAGGCAACGTACTGAGAAGTAGTTGTGCACAGACGTGCCCGCGCCGCGCCCCCCGACGACCCCGCGGGCCCCCGCCACCCCCGCCCTAATAACTGGAACTTAAGGTACCACACTGGTTTGTTGCTGGCGACACGCAGCCTCGAGCCTTAAACTGTCAACTACAGTACTTCCTAATAATCAGTTATCTGCGGTAACTGGCTGTTGACGTTTACGGCATCACCTGTGTGTTTAAAGTCGCTCACTGTCCGTGGTTTAGTCGTTGATGTATCTATTTGTAGTTAAACGAAAACTATCCGGATTTATTTTTTGTTTGTAGACGTTGTGTAGGATATATTGTGTTATTATTTAGAACACGCGATAAAACAATGTGTAATTTTAGAATTTCAACATAGAGAGAGATGCTATACAATAGTTAAAAACGTAACAGAAGTTGAAATTAATTTTAAATCTCACGTTGTTTCGTCCTATTTAGTGTTTTTTTAAATGTATAATTTGTTTTTTTAGTGACGTAGTATCCAAAACACAACAAATACATTTTATTGAAAAAAAAAACAATAAGCAAAACAATAAAAATATTTTTTTATTGTATAAAATATGTGCATTTACTAGAGAATACGGGTGGATGTAATTTTGCTTATCGCTGAGAAAATTAAATGGTGATAAGTATATTTAAAAATAGTGTACAGTCAACGACATAAGTAGATGATCAAAAACACATTGTCAAAACTACTGAACGATATTTGGAGCAAAACTAGGTAGTGCTGCAAAACTAAGTAATTAAATAAAGCACCTATAAATTAGCAAAAGTTGATCGAACTGTTGCCAAAAGTTGATGATTAAAATAACTGATAGTCTTAAAAATCAAAACTTCATGAATATTTTATTCTCAGTATTTTTTGGTGGAACTAAACCTAACGCCCAAAAGAAAACGATGAAGTTAAAGTATGCATACAAAACGGGGCACTTTTTTTTCATTTGTGGAAATCCTCCCGGATACCACACCACCCTCGAACTGACTAAAGGTCATAGATCATTAGACCCCCCGACATTCGACTAGCACCAGCGTTTTAAAAATTTGAAGTGTTCTAACATTTGAGAATAGATGGAATCTGACCTTGGAAAATGTTTTTCAATCTTCATTGAGGAATAAAGACTTAGAAACATTACCCGTGCCCCGGTTTACACCACGGCACAATCTCATATCTTGCCTATCACCTAGTTTTGCTCTAAATATCGTTCAGTAGTTTTGACAATCCGTTTTTGATCATCTACTTTTGTGAATAGTAATAGACCTAATAAGAGACTGTCGTGATCTACTTATTATTATTATTATGTGCACATCATCCTTAGAGAGTCCATTATTTTCCTGTCTTCCTTTCAATATCTCGTGTACTTACATCGACGTGCCGCCTAGGATCGCGATTAGTCGTAGTAGTGATAGAATTGCGTCCGACAGTCCTCAATGGGTGGGTCCGTTTCGTGACGGTTGCAGGTTCACAGGTTCGAAGCGGCGCTGCATCAACCTGGGCTCTTATAACTACCTGGGCTTCGCGGAGGGCGAGGGCGGCAGCACGCACGCCGACGTGGCTGCAGCCACGCGTCACTTCGGCCTCGCGATGTGCTCGTCGCGCGCCGAACTCGGCGACACGGCGCTGCACCGCGAGCTCGAACACACCACGGCGAAGTTCCTCGGCGTGGAGGTACGCGACCGACGATAGAGACGATAGTGTAGAGCGAGGGTAGAAGGTAACGGTGGTCGGTGTTGCAGTCGGCGATCGTGGTGGGCATGGGGTTCGCGACCAACACGCTGGCGCTGCCGGGGCTGCTGGGCCCGGGCGCGCTGGCGCTGAGCGACGCCAACAACCACGCGTCGCTGATCCTGGGGCTGCGCCTGGCGCGCGCCACGGTGCGCGTGTTCCGCCACAACGACGTGCGCCACCTCGAGCAGCTGGCGCGCGCCGCGCTCGCCGAGGGCAAATGGCGCAAGATTGTTATCGTGAGTCCTCCGCATTATTAGAGCACTCGTAATTTTAACTGATTTTTTCGTCTTCGTTATATATATTTATTCATTACGCCCAAACAATACGATTAAAATTTTATTCCATAACAAAATACCTCTACATGTGTGTAATCGCAAAAATCAAAACTTTTACACAAAGTTTTGAATTGATGGGATAAAATCACTATCATCTGTGATAAATCATATAATCACACCTTCGACTGGCTTACACAATGCGAGGTGTTATTATTATTACGCTAGCGCCAGACTTGCGAAATCTACCGGTGAGGTGGTTATGTCGGACCTTGAACTCTGGACTCGCTTAAATCAACTTAATCACAATAATTCTTTCTACCTACAAACTACCGCAGCTAAATTTCCAGTCTCAAGCACTCAAATCGAATACCTTGTGTATAAACTTTGGAGAGCCTTTAGATCTACTCAATTCGGCCGTGTTGCAGGACCTGCGCTATGTTCAAATGCACTATTCAGCTTAATGTTATCTTCTATATCTATGTTGAATGGTTTTCTACATTTCTTAATTAAGAAGTAGATGAGTAAACTATAACAAGTTTACCAACTAGTAGCTTGTCCATATATAAAAAAACAGTTTAATTGTCAATACATGAAAACAGGAATGTTGAAGAGTAACTAATTAGTATTGTTACGAATAATCCCTAGTATTCGATAGTCCATTCCAGACAAATAATAATATTCCAGTATCGGTTAAGCGTTACTTGCAGCGTCATCTAGTGCTGTAAGGATCAGAATTATTAATCACAATCTTAATAGTTGTACTTTACTCAATACTAGATGGCGCTGTCTTCCACATTTCATACAATTCTGGAGATTGTTCCAGAACCATTTAATCCTTTGGCGCAACAGTATCTTACCAAAGAAAATTGCCATCTCCTATGCTACTTCAGTGACTATTACACACATTTCTGTAACATTTCAGGTAGTAGAAGGCGTGTACAGTATGGAGGGCTCAATCTGTCCTCTCGCGGCGCTAGTGGCGCTGAAGAAGCGGCTCGGCTTGCAGCTGTACCTGGACGAGGCTCACTCGATAGGCGCGCTGGGGCCCCGCGGCCGGGGGGTCACGGATTACGCGGGGGTCGACCCTAACGACGTCGACGTGCTCATGGGCACCTTCACTAAAAGTTTTGGAGCTGCCGGCGGGTACATCGCAGGTAAGTTTTATTATATGCATTTTTTCTGTGGTTGCCATTGTATAAATTTAAGTAGAACATTTTATGTAAATAATGCAATATAGGGACAACAAGAAAGTTAATACAATTTATGATTTATGTAGAATTCGACTTTTTTTCAAAAAAGTTTGAACGTTTCAACATAAAATATTAAAAACTGGTACTACTACTATTAAATAGCTCGATGTCGATGATCACTAGCGTAGTCACCTGAGTGGCCTCGCACTCGATGTGATGCAATAAGCAGAAGCAGGAGTAACGAGTGGTAATGTCCTTGGGCAGGGTCGGCGCGGCTGACGGCGTGGGTGCGCGCGCAGGGCCACGCGCACACGTACGCGCACGCCATGGCGCCGGCGGTGGCGCAGCAGATCGTGTGCGCCATGCGCGCGCTCGACGCGCCCCCCGGCCGCGCGCGCATCGCCGCGCTCAGGGACAACACGCACTACTTCCGCAACAGGTACCCCCCCGCCACGGCCCCGCCACGCTCGGGCCCAGCCGCGTGCCCTGCGGTACACCCGCGCTCATTTACTTATTTATTTATCAACTTTAATACGTTCACTTCGTTTATTTATCCCGCTTCTTAGGCTACGTTGGAAAATGCAGAGGGACGTTGGCTGATCAGATTGACGCTTGCGTAATTGACTATACAAAATGTATAGTGATGCGATCTACGATATCGAACGCCTTTTAAATCTCTGTTACGCGTTTTTATGTACTTTCAAACATAATTAAAGTATAAAAGAGATAAAAAGGAGTGAACCACTAAGTTTCATGTTTTTGTTGGGTTTTGCAGATTACGCGAAATGGGCGTGGTGACGTTCGGGCATCACGATTCACCCGTGGTTCCGATGCTGGTGTACACCTTCAGCAAAATGGCCGCCACCGTGGAGCGCCTCACGGACAGTGGCATCGCAGCGGTGGGCGTGGGCTTCCCCGCCACGCCGCTAAACCAGGCACGGATAAGGTAAGACTCTTGCACATGTTCTCCGACATAGCTCAGTGCCAGTGGTAAAGCAGCTCGGTATGGTGTGTCTCTCTCGATCTCGATGGAGTATTGGTCTGAAACTACCGTGGGAGAGCCACGCTTCGGCACGAATGGGCCGGCTCGACCGGAGTGATACCACGGCCTCACAGAAAACCGGTGTTAAGCAATTCTTTCGTTGCCTTTCACTGAAATCCCCCCTCCCGCTGATTAAAGCAGGAGGGACTCCAAGGGCGGTAACGCACTTGTTAGTTTTGAGTTGCAGGTGTCCATGGGCGGCGGTAGTTGCTTACCATCAGGTGACTCGTCTGCTCGTTATCCCTCTTACACCATAAAAAAAACTGTAACTGCTATTCTCAATAGGTGGGGAGAGTAGGGAGTAATGAGATGCTTATTGGTCAAACTCCAGCTTCACTACTACCTAACTCTGCCAACTGCCACGTTTAATCTATCTATTAAACGAGCAAACCAACGCTGTTCGAACAGCGAATGACGGAGGCGTGTGGTCCGCAGGTTCTGCCTGTGCGCGTCGCACAGCCGCGCGCAGCTGGACGCGTGCCTGGCGGGCGTGCGGCGCGCCGCGGCCGAGCTGGGCCTGCGCTACTCGCGCCGCGCCTGACGTCACGCGCTCGCCACACACCCTACACACGACACACACTGAACTCAATAAATTATTTTCCCACGCTATCCACTGTCTATTATTTCATAAATTCTTACAGCTTCAGCGGCCGGAGCGCCGAAACGAATCTTATTTATCAAGTGATGTGCCGGATCGTTAAACTGTATAATAATATATATCTCTATGATACGAGCCCGAAGTCCGCGAATGCAGATTCGGACATCTTTTTTTTATTAGTTAATGCGTTCAAGTCCATAATATATTAAAATTCCTAGTTGCAGTGCGTGTTATTCTTTTGATAATTTCAAAAATTATTTGTCATTATAAAGATAATCAAATAATACTTTGTAACTGTGAATAATATCAATAAATCACTATATGATTTATCTTCTATATATATTTGTAAATGTTGAGTTGGGTTGTGTGCGCTTCAAAAACTCAAAGTTCTGCACCGATTGAGTTCAAATTGTGACATGACATACAACCCGCTTCAAAGATGGTTCTCGCGTCAATTTTCTTCCTAATTTCTCATCAATGTGAATCAGCGAAACGTGGTAAGTTACAGCTAATTACATATAAAATTACGTCACCCCTAAAAAGCACAATTAGAGGTGTTCTTGGGTTGTGTGGAAGTGCTCATTTTCAAAGTTAGCTACGACATAAGAAATGAGTACACAATGTCAATTTTTAATATATAATTTATAATATCACAAATGTAAATTTTTAATAATGTAACATTTTAACAAAAAGTAACTTATTTACCTCTATTTTTCACCATATCCGCCAGTGCGGATACGCGCACAAATAACCGGCACATCACTATTTATCAATGCAGTTTAATAACGAAGATCTGGCCAGCCAACCCGTCTGGCCAGCGTGGTATAGTAGGCCAAAACCTCCTTTCTAAGGAGAGCCCTGTGTCCAGCAGGGGACTGTTAAAGGCTGTTGATGTGATGATGATGATGAACTCAGTTTAAAGAGGATACGGTTCATCAGATCTCTTATCGGATATACCGTGGCTTGGGGTACAGCACTAATACGTAAACCTAGACGTGGTAGGAGGATCATATAACGGTGCTAAGGAAAAATAAAGTCACGTATTTGAACATTACAGGTTGCAACGTCACGCGAATTAAAGGTATGCAGTAGATATACCTAACACGAGTACGCACCTGTATTACATAATCATTATATTGTTAGAGAGGATATGTATCATCTCTCTCTTGCTTGCATTCTATTGCAGTGATTTCGTTGAAGGGACAAAACTCCCGACTGCCCCCGAAGGGCGCGTTATTTGTTTGTACTTAGCGACCCCAGAGTTGCCTGTCAAATTGTAGGTTATATGTTAAACTAGCTGGTGCCCGCGAGTTCGTTCGCGTGGAATTTGAAAAGCACTGCCTAAGTGCTTTTCAAATTCTTTAAGGTAAGGGTTTTTCTGAGTGAAATAAATTGCCTAAGTTGCTCATATAGACAGTTACTTGGTAGTAAAATATTATTATCAAAATCGGTCCAGCCGATTACCTGGAACAACCAGACAGACAAAAAATGTTTTAACTGGTTTTTATTCATAGGTATCGTGCAAATTACCTTGTGAGTTAAACCACCAATTATTTTAACATTTGAACAGACACTTCAATTTTACTTATTTGTATAGACTAGCTGAGCCCCGCGGTGTTACCCGCGGTTGTTGTTGTACCTTGCCTCGTGCCAATGGAACACTATATTTTTTTGGGATAAAAAGTAACCTTTGTGCTATTCCAGCCTATAATCTATCACAGTGCTAAATTTCATCCAGACCCGTTCAGTCGTTTTAGTGTGAATGAGTAACAAACATTCATTCAAACTTTCGTTTATAATATTAAGATATTTGTCTTTAAATTAAAATTCGCATCGACGTATAACAAAAAAGATTAAGCATATGCCACGTCTTATTATATCGTATGTGAATGTCAAAGAAATCATTAAAAAGTTTAACCTTAATTTAAAAAAAAAATAACAAGAACATAATTATTTGCGCTTGCAAACCTTCGAAGAATGTAATCACGAAATGTACTGCAGTACTTTAAAAACTAAATTTAGTTGTTATTTATTTTACTTTTGTCTAAATTGATTCGCTTTTCGTATGCGTACATTCAAATAAAATAACCGGTCAAGTGTGAATTAAATTCTCATGGATTGGGTTCTGTACAATAAATTACACAAGAAGTTTGTACGTGAGATATTTACAGATATATCATATTATTTGAAGACTACTTATACATTTTCCCATAATCTTATGAGTAAATATGAATTTTATGTACTTTAAAAAACTGCTTAGTAGTTTTCGAGATAAGTCTCCAATAGTTTATCATATAATTTTTAAAGTAACTTAAAAGCTATTTTGAAGCATTAAAAATATAAATATTTAAAAAGCTATTTTTAGCTTCTGTGGTTTGTTTCGGCATTTCTTCTCAGAGCGAGTCTTAGGAAATGCCGGCGCCTTCTAGATGTAAAGTCCGACTTGTAAAAATATCTGAAAACATTTACTTGCAGAAATAAGTATCATTTCATTTCATATACACAATACAGTTAGCGAAATATTATTTTTACTCTGGCGCGTCGACCTAAAAATTCGTCTAATTGTATTACACATCTGTTTTAGAATTACAGGAATTGATATTTATATCAAATACCAACTTCATCGGTCAATTACATTCATTCATTCAAATCGTGTGTGTGACTGACAAACAAACACATGCACATGCGCACATTCGGTTTGCTTACGGAACCCAAAAAAGAGTTTCTCTTTAACAAACACCTCTTTAGAATGCTAAGAAAACAAGGAAAAGTGTAGCTGATATGAGTGATATCGGGCGATGTAGTACAAAACCATAAAATGCGATATCTGCGCTCACACACTGTACTGTTTCGTTATCGGTATCTTCACTTGAAATATATAAATATTTTAGTACTACGAGTTTATTAATCTCTTTCCTGTTACACGGTGCGATTGTACTTATTCACACAGACACGATTAGATATGATTTAAGGACATATTGATTGATAACACATTGAAAGCTTCATATTTACGGAATGGTTTAAGCGGTCGCCACGCCGTTTACTACTACGCTGAGTGTTGTGGGTTCGATCCAAACATGGGACTACACTTTGTGTGATCCACAAATTGTTGTTCTAAGTCTGGGTGTTCTTTGTGTCCGTTTCATGTATGTTTGTAAAGTCCCCCGCGACACAGGATGTATTTCTAGTGCGGGAGTTGTTTTTTTATAAAAGAAAGAAGAAAAGAAATAAACACGAGTGCTGTGTCGTGGGATAGACGAATCTTCGAATCTAACTAATTTGTCATTTTTCGCAGTTTTAATTATGGGCGGCCTGTTGGTCTTAGTGGTTAGTAATCCGGACTGCTAAGGGGGTGGGTCGTAGGTTCGATGCCCACCCAAGACAAATATTGTGTGATGAGTACGATCATTTGTGGTGTCTGTGTGTATTTTATCTATAACAGTGATGTGTTTAGATACATATTTATCAGCAGTCTGGTTACCATAATACGGGCTCTGCGTAGTTTGGGATATCAGACAGCCCTGTGTGAGATGTGTTTGGTTATTATTTTTTTTATGAAATTTTGACGTTACGTCGTGTTACATACTTAATTCATATCTGACTGACAAAAACTCAGTTGCCATTATATACAAACACACAGTCTGTGAAAAAAATAATGTTGCGGCGGTATTTCCAGACCGATACGACCTTCAGACGAGTAAAGAAAAGAGTGTACTACCTCAGACGCCAATACGTTTGCGACTCCTGAATTGAAGACGTTCACGGACGGCGGTAGTCACTTTCTATCAGGTGACCCTTCTGTTCGTTTGCCCTGTCATAAACAAAAACATGGCTGCATAATCGAATCGAATCTTATTAAACCCCATCTAAGTTATAGCGGGTAAACCTACTGCCGCTAACCTATCGTTTTGAAAAATCAATGGGAAAAAGAAGTTATTGAAAGTTGAAGGAAAAGAATATTGCTTATAAGGATGGATTGGGGAGTGTGAACCGTGGGTCGACTACGTCAGGGTCGCGTACCTGTGACTCTAAACTTGCCATATCAATAAAAGAAGAAACTGGCAGACTGATGAACGCACAGCTGAAAGCGCTTGGTCTAGAATTATGAAATTTTGCAATAAATGTTCCTTAGGTGAAGGTGTGTTTTTAAAATTCCACCCCTAAGGATACAAAATGGGGGTTGGAAATTTATATAAAACTTCGTTATTTTTGGGAGTAGCGTTTTCAAACCCCCAGTAAATATTCTTTATCCGTGTGGTGACGAATTAAGAATACGGAGTGTCACCAACCCTATTCATCCCGTGGGTATCGTAAGAGGCGACAAAGGGAGCTAACGCAGGACAACCAGCACTGCAAGAGAAGGAAAACTTGACACAAACCCTATACCAACCCGTCTGACCAGCGTGGTATAGAAGGCCAAAACCTCCTTTCTAAGGAGAGGCCTATGTCCAGCAGTGGACTATTAAAGGCTGTTGATGTGATTGTGTACACCTACGTCACCTTAGGAACATTTGTGAAAAGTTTAATCATCAGTCATTGAATGAGTCAGTCAGTTTCTTCTTTTATAGATATAGATTATAAAGAGAGAGATTATAAAGATTATAATGTTTGGGGTAATCTCGGGAAGTACGGTTTTAATTTAAAAAAATATTTTAGTTTTGGATAGCCCTTTTATCGAGGAAGAATAAAGACTATAACATCATGCTACGAACAATAGGAGCTGACTATCCTCCAGTTTATTATGTTAAAATGGATAAATAAGAAACTGGGTCAATTTCTATGGTCAAAATAAATGACTTCGCCGAACTCATCCGACATGAAGTCTTAAAATGAATAAATTGTCGTTTTACTATAACGTCTTTCATAATCATATTTATACATCTTTAACTTTATTACCCATTATTTATGTCCGTGTGGTGACGGATTAAGAATAAAGAGTGTCGCCACCCCTATTCATCCCGTGGGTGTCGTAAGAGCCGACTAAGGAAGCAAACTACGCAGGACAACAGCACTGCAGAGAGAAGGAAAACTTGAAACAAACCCTATACCAACCCGTCTGGCCAGCGTGGTATAGTAGGCTAAAACCTCCTTTCTACGGAGAGGCCTATGTCCAGCAATGGACTAGTAAAGGCTGTTGAGGTGATGTGAACTTTATTACAGGAATTGACAACAGCAGGTCTCGATGCCTCACTAGTCACCACTCTTCCCGTAGCTACTAAGACTATAAATCCATTTTTTCACATCCTAACATTCAGAGAGACTGCATTCTGTTCCGATAGTGGTCAGGGTTCGTTCCCTGTGTAGGCAAATATGAATGCCAGTATTAGCTTTTATACCGTTATGATCAAATATTATAATTAACGATCCATTACACGAGACAATCGTGGTCCATACGAACATTGCTATCAAATAAACACATTAAGATATTTTTGATACAATTAAAATCGTATGTTTATCAATGTTTAGGTTAAAGAGTTACATTTGCGACATTATCTTGTTAAATGTTGACCTCAGGCGTTGTTCGGCCTATATACTCGTACGTCGTTCGCTGAAATGGCTCAATGATTCACATCTATATCGGCTTATCACTCGAAAACCAAGATAGCCAGATAACGATGAACCGTCGGTGCTTTTTGCGGGACGCCTGCTCAGTAAACACCACCTGTGATTGTTGGAACGCAGTGTAATGTGATGTGTGCTTAATTGTGTAGTGTGTGTAGGATGCGCGTGTGTACTGTCGCTGCATCGCAGCTACTCCTCGTAGGAGTTGTGCTCGCCAACCTCAACGTCTCCGTCGTTAGAAGACAGTGAGAAATTACTAAATATTCTTTTTAAAGGAATATGAATGTCCTTTTCACTTAAATTACGTACAAGTTTAGATCAATGATGAATATGCGGTGTCTTCTAACAGGTTGAGCTTCGAGGAAACCCACGTGTTGGTGGTGGACGCTTCCATCGAGTACATACTAGAGTTTACACCGGTAAGTTTTATTGAACATGAGGTCAGGCGACTTAACTTTTATACACAAACGTCTTCAAAAAAGACCTGGAACTTACTTACTATCTGTAGGTATGACCTTGTGATTATAATTTTATGAGCTGCCTACAGTTTACGATAAACTTCGCTTCTTCGTCGCTAAATAAAGTTATTATCGTATTATTACTAAACTCGGTTCCAAAAATAACGGGTCAGTCACATTAACCCGAATATCTCCCGAACTTCGTATGCCATCCTAATGAAACGAAGATTGTTCAATTGAGCATTTAATCATACAGATAAAAATAAAATAAAACTTAAATCTAAACTCTCTAACTCTTAACTTATCTCTAAATTAAAAAAAAAACTAAAGTAGTCATATTTTTCTTAATATTACATTTTTTATGATTGTTTTTTTGCTGTTTTTCATCACTTTCTTCATTTAATACTTTGTATTGCCTCCACGAGCTCTTCTGACAGCTTCCAGGCGATTAAGTCCTTTCATGGCCGGTCCATCCTGGCCATGAAAGGACCTACATGTTCATTGAGGATCTCTTCCACGTACCTCTCTGTATTTAAAGTTCCATTTTGAATGAGTACCAGCTCGGTGCGGGCCTCAGTAGAAATCCCAGCCCGAACTTGTACGGAGCCTCCACCGTACGTCACTTTTTCCTCCACACACGCTTGATGGAAGCGCTCCCCTGGTCTTCTGTACACCAACTGCCTACCATCATGCTTATAAAGCATGAATTTAGACTCGTCCGTGAACATTACCCTAGATCAATCGTCTAGTGTCCAGTTTAGGTGCTCGCGCACGTATCTCTGTCTTGCAATTCGATGTCCCCGTTCCATTTTGGGGCATTTGCGGGCCTCAATGGTTTCAAATTTGCTTCAGCAAGACGTCTTCTTACTGTTTGAGCGCTTAAATTGCCACCTCCAAAGCGAATAAAGTGAGTTTTTAGACCAACAGCAGTTTGAAAACGATTTCGGAGCATTGTAGCCACCAGTTGTCTGTCTTCCCTGGCCGTTGTGCATCTTGGTCTGCCATTTCCTGGTCTTCTAAGGTGTGATCCGGTCTCTTGTTACCGCTGGACTACCCGCTGAACAGTAGACAAAGATACACCAATGTTTCTGGCTGTTTCACGCTGGCTCCTCCCAAGTTCCAAATAAGTTAGGATTCTGGTTCATTCCTCTAGCGTGACTGCCATGCTTCACCACACAGAATAGTAATTATGCACGTGGAAGACGTTCACGATAATTTTTTTGTGACAGAATAGAAATGGAAAGCATCCATAATGAAATGAAACAAAAATTTTGTTTTAAAAAATAGTCATTTTTTTTAATTTTGTTTTTTTAATGAAGTTTTTTTCATCAACCGATTTAAATAATATGCTATTAGAAGCGGAACTAAAATGTCTTTATTCTGTTTTTTATTTCATTGATCTAACTTTTACAGTTCTGGAGGTATTTCAATTTTTGTGAATGACCCGTAATTTTTGGAAACGAGTGTATATAAGATATACCAGACATCTAACGTGTATGAAAGTCACGAAAGTTAAAAAAAAAAACAAGTTCTTAGGCATTTATAACGATTACATTTCCAGAGGAGGATACTCCCATTCCCTACCGGAAAAGAAAACATACATAAAAGATTAAATTTCTTTTCTTAAAATAACAGCATATAAGGCATAGGTTTTTGTTAAACCTCGTAATTAAATTTAGTGTCAAAATAAATACTCTTTCGCTGTGAACACTGAGCATGCTTTGCGCCTCCCGCCGTTAACATGTTCGTATGCAGATGCTCCTACCTGAAAATAATATTGCTATTGCCCATGCACCTATAGAGGATTCCTTAAAATCGACCCTGTACAACATGTGGAGAATCATTATGTAATGTCTCTTCAAGCAGGCGGGATGATCGTTTAATTAAGTAGTAGGGAGAGTTTCAGTACGCGTGTCGCCACTATCTCACATGAGGAGCGATCTATTCCGAATCTGAGATCGCATCGAGCAAATAATGCATGTTATATCCTCTCCAGCTCTCCGGCTCTCCAGCTGTTAAAGAAGAATAAGAAATGTATAAGAATTTTAAACCAAGATTAATGGTTGGAAGAACAGTAATTTTACACATCACAGTTGTGGCTTGCTAACGAGAGGGTAAAAGTCTACTGGTGAAGCTACATCCCAGAAGCCTGGCACCTGATCGATTGAGGAGCTGACGTAGCCACCTTTATTTTTTAGATATTTAAACTTTCAGCTTATCTGTTGCAATTGGAATAGAGGACAGGCATGAAATTATACTACTTCCTACTTTTTTTATGGAATAGGGGCAAACGAGCAGACCTGTCACCTGATAGAAAGCGACCACCGGTACCCATGCTCGCCTGCAATTCAGGAGTCACAAGCGCGTTGCCAGCCTTTGAGGAAGGAGTACGCTGTTTTCTTCAAGGTTTGAAGGTCGTATCGGTTCGGAAATACCGCAGCCGATAACTTGTTCCACATGTTCCTACTACTTAAGTATTGCGATTTAATAAGAACTAAAGATATCCTGGGCATCCTGGCAGACAAATTTCGACCAAATTGACCGTCTTGTTTTATTTATTTAAGCAGTTTATTAGACCTGTTATTGTATATAGACTTTGGTACCATGACAGGTCAAAATATTTACCTATTGAACGTTTTGTGTAGATGTTTTTACAAAACTTTTACGTTCCTTAGCACATATTGCTCTTCTACATGTATCTAAACATTAAGTTTTCCAAATACGACATACTTTTGGACGCCACATTTGTTTAATGAGGGGTATAAAGAATTGCCTCACGTATCGATCTCACGTATCAGTAGATATTAGTGAAGCCTTTAGCGAACGGAAGCTTAAATTAAAATAACTATCATTATTTACTCCTGCCTAGGTTGGTGACCAGGGCCAATGGCCGAGTCGCATCTGGATGCGGCTGGACGGTGGCGACATCGCACATCCGCTGCTCGTCACTGCCCGACAAAGAACAGGTGATGTCAATATAAATCTTAGAAGGTTTTACAATATAAATCTGAGAAGGTTTTACAATATAAATTGTACAACCTTCTCAGGTCAACACTCATGCAGGTATACTTTTTTTATAGAAGAGGGGCAGCCGAGCAGACAGGTCAGGTAAGTGACTATCGCCGCCCATGAATGCCTGCAACTCAGGAGTCACAAACGCCGGCGTTTTTTATCTTATTTTCCTTGTATTGACTAATAAATATTAGGGGTTAAAGTATGAAGTTGCCGATTTGTACTGAAAAATTGATAACCTTTTTTTTCTAAGATGTAACATATTTATTAATGAAAATATTTACCCTCATTATCTATACATTTCTGCCATCGAAACGGAAGTTCATTTATGCCTTTACAATAGAACTTTGGGAATCTAGATTCGACAAACTGTGTGAAAGCATTTTGTATTGCCTCCTGGGAAGAATTTTTTTTATCACGTAGAAAATTGTTCAAATCACAAAAAAAAAATGGTAGTTCGTTGGAGCAAGGTCTGGCGAGTACGGAGGATGACGTATGGCTTCTAACTGCAGCTCCTGTAGCGTTACAAGGTTTCTCGTGCAGTGTGAGGAGCAATAATGGTGACGATCGATTCACCAATCGGGGCTGTTTCACTGCCAGTTTCGCCATCATTGTTCGAAGTTCAGCACATTAAACATCTGCTGTTATTGCCTGACCAGACCTGAGAAAGCTATAGTGAATAACACCATGAAGGGACCACCATTACCTTTTAATTGGTAAGCTTTGCTTTAGAGCACTGTTGCGGCGATTGACCAAGGGACCTCAGCCATTGCATTTTTTACCATATGTCACAATTCGATCCAATATTCCTTCAGTTCTGTACCGATTCATCAAGGCAACACAAGCTTCAACACGCATTTCTTTCTGCAGATCAGTCAAACCGTGAGGTACCCATTTTTCATATTTTTTGTCTTATTCATTTGATGCAAATGAGTCAATATTGTAAGTAGGGTAACGTTAAACCATCCCGCTAATGCCTGGGTAGTTTCACTCCGATCGGCTTCCACCATCTCTTTCAAATCAGCGTTATTTACCTGTATAGCCGGTCTTCCACGTGGTTCGTTCTTCAAGTCGAAGTTTTCATTACGAAAGCGTTTAAACCAAAAATGCATGGTGCGTACATTAGCAGTCTTCTCTCCAAACGCAGCATTGATATTGCGAGCGGTTTCTGCCGCGTTAGTGCCGCGTTAGTATATATTATGTCTATCACAATATTTAAGGTCACTGACAGTTACCACTCGTTAAAAGTATTTATGACAAGGATTGCTAACATTGCTGCAAACACCGGTTAGTTCTACCTACACTCCTTCTTTTATCTTAAGCCAACTATGAGCCTATATGTATATAAATACCTATGCTCTAACATAGGTCCCTTGTTTCTAAATTATTATCGATTAGTAGATTTAAAAACTGTTGTAAGTAATGATACTTAATGATAATAATAATTTTATAATAAATAAAAACAATTTTGGATGTTTTTCCTGTCCAAAACGATTATTCAGATTGTAATGAAACTTAGGTAGGGTTTAACTAATAGAGACGGCTCCTGGCTCAAAAAATCTGTAAATATAAACACGGGTACAGCGTGCATAAAGTAAGAATATACCGCCACTGTTACACCCCATGGAAGAGGGCACAACATCAGCCAACATATTTACAGTCACGCCTACTTGCAATCATGCTTATGATATGATAGATATCATAGAGAGACGATACTCCGTAAATTTTCCTTGTCATGGAGTTCAATCAATTACTGTTGTGTCCGTATTGTTAAGGTAAAGATTCTTATATTTTCCATGTGCAGGATCAACAACATGGCAGCTGCCCTTTGGTCGGGGCGAGTCTATGATGTTCCAGCAGGAACGTACGCTGTGTCCCGAAGATGCTGCGGGAATCGAAGTAGGGGACATTGATCAAGACTGCGGTTAGTTCCTTTAAGAAACGTATAACTGCTATTCGATTTTAAATTTATACTAACAACTCACTATTTTATTCATATTTTTATTTATTAAATAAATAATTATTTTTATTTATTTATTAAATAAATAAAAATATTGTTTTAATTTAACACTTGGAGCAGTAAGCGAACTTGACTCTGAATAAAGTTAAGCTCTCAAATCAAATAATTAAAATAAACTAAGTTATTTCTAAATGGATTTTTTTTGGAATAAACCCCAACCAGATTTTGTAAATAGGAAAGATAAATCGAACTCTCAACTGCTTACACAGCCATAACGTGCTATATAATTTCATGAATTTTCACTATAACTAACAAAATAAAGAGTTAAATAGAGTGAGCTAGTGGAGAAAAAGGCAAGGCAGTAATCTCTGACTGTGGATGGTTGTCAGTGGGCTCGGAGCCGTCGGTGCGCGGCTGGATGTCGCTGCACGTGGGCACATCGTGCGCCGCGCCCGCCTCGCTGTCGCTGCGCGTGTCGCCCGATCGCGAATGGTACCTGAACTTCGAGACTCCGCTCCTCGTACATACTATCATGGTAACCTAATAATAAAATTAAACTAAGCTTATTGTTATGGTGGCAGTGGGAGAAGTGTATATCAGTAACGTTGGAGTGGTATTGTCGCAGGGTTCCCCTCGCGTCCACTTCTACCAGTTCCTGCCGGAGCAGACGAGCGTGCGCCTGGTGATGGAGTCGGAGGACTACGTGTGCGCCACTATCGCCATACAGAACTATACGGTCTGTGTCTTACTTATATTCTACTTACTATAAACTGTAAATAAACCTTCAGCCGTTGCGAGAAGTTGGCACCCCTTCGTTCGGTTACAAGTGCTATATCTATTGCTTTAAAGTGTAACAAAGTAAAACCATATAGCGACGGGCCTATTAGTCTATTGGTTGGTGTTTCCGACTGCTACGCTAGAGGTCGTGGGTTCGATTCCCAACGGGACAAATAATGTTTATCATCAGTCTGATTACTATAGCACAGGCTCTAGCTAGAGCTGTTTTGACTGACTTTGGAATTAAACGGCCATATATGAGATGTGTGAGATTATTATTTAAAAAAAGGGGTCATAAAAAGACATGTGCAGTCAAATCCTGTAAAGAATAGGTTTGTTTACTACCGTTGTAGTACTCCGTCTAAACTAAAAATTAAGTGTTTACGTGTTCTCTAACCTGTTTTACTCGTTGCAGTGCCCTATAGCCGATACAAGAGATCTTGTAGAAACTTCCACTGTGAGAATGACGGTGCTCAGATCAGGCGGCACACAGCTCTCGGTAATTTAACTTAAACCTACACGTAAAAACATAACAAGTTCTAGTGGTGCTTTTCAAATCAACAGGCGAAGTCACCCTCTATGGTATTTTTTACATGTTAAAAATGTTCCAAATAGGAATAAAATATAATGTGTATAACATGGAGAAATACAGCAGTAGAATATAACAGCACAAGCGACATAGACTCACTCGGTAACAGTATATCTAGTCACTAGAAAAACAAAAGCGCTTTTACAATCAAGACCTTTACAAGATTCCTAGATGAGTTGTTGTGCAATTATTTGATCAACAACTCATCTAGGACTGCACGGATGGCGTAGTGGGTTTAAGCAGTAGCCACGCCGTTTACTACTACGCTGAGTATTGTGGGTCCGATCCCCACATGGGGCGACACTTTGCACGATCCACAATTTGTTGTTCTGAGTCTGGGTGTTATTTGTGTCCGTTTCATGTATGTTTGTAAAGTCCACCGTGACACAGGACATATTCCTAATGCAGTAGTCTTTTTTAAAGAATTAAAGAAGAAATAATTTACTATGTGCCGTTCCAGCGGTACACGTACCCGGCGGGGTTCTACGTGATCTCGCTGGTACACGAGGACGAGTCGGAGTGTCGCGAGGTGGAGCCGGAGCAGGAGGAGTGGCTGTTCGAGGCGGCGCTGCTGCCCGGCGCGCTCACGCACGCGCGCCCCGCGCCGCCGCCCCCGCGCGACAAGACGCTCACGCTGCACGTCATGGTACGTGCCATCCCGCCGCCTTCAGACCGTACGTGGGCTCTGTGCACAGTGCCCACCTACACTCAATAAATAATAATCATTTCACACATCTCACACACGGCAGTCTGATGCCAAACTAGGCAGCGCCTGTACTATGGTATCCAGACTGCTGATAAACATACCTATATATTTCTAAATTATAGATAAATTACACCCAGCCACAGAGCAAATGAGTGTGCTCATACAATATTTGTTCTGGGTGGAAATCCAACCCACGTCCTCCGGCTTAGCAGTCAGGGTCACTCACCACTAGATCGCCAGGCCCGTCGTAATTGTAAAATGGACGCGTATGTCTAGTTACCATAGTATAAGGTCTGCCTAGTTAGACATTGGACCACCGAGTTTGAAGTACCCCAGTTATTGTTATTATCTTAAGTCGTTTTCTTTACTTAGATTTACCTTCTTCCTTTCTCTCTTATCTAAATTAATACAATCCTTGGGGTCGGTAGTCACTTACCATCAGGTGACTCGTCTGCTCGTTCACAGAAAGCAAATTCTATGATAAAACAGAAACCACCCAAAACATTTACCACCAAATAAATTGGAAAAGGGGCAGGACGTATAAATGTGATAGCCACGGTGTCGTACTGGAGGGTCGGGCTGCAATCTTATAGCTGCAAGTTTCAAACCAACCTGCGCTCACTACTGACACAAGCAAATAGGTTAGCTAGAGTGATTAACAAAAATACTAGTAATGTAATCCACAATCCTATGAACATATTTAAAAAAAAAACCGTCGCCTAATTATTTCGTCGTTAAACTAAACCCTGGTGTCATATCAAACAAATTTAACACCCTACTATACTCGTATCATTGCTATCAGGAATACTATAAACACCCAATTGGCTGTATTAAAGACAATCGTTTTTTATTATTTCCATAATTTTAAGCAACTTGTACCGACATATCGAACGCTAGTACAGAACTATCATATTATGTTTTTAATTTAATTTAGTTATTAATTGTATGTATTTTATCATAGATTTGTTTGTTTTTATTGTAAGTCTTGCACAATTTATTGGTCTATCTGTGATAATGTATGGTATAAAAAATAAAATGTTGCAGCCGGCACTGACTCGTATGCAGTACGTAGTGGGAATCGTGGTGGCCCTGGCGGTGTTTTTGCTGTTCTACGTACTATTCGGCATGCTCGTATTGGCGCAGCGGTTCCCAGCATGGAAGAAATTCGTTGGACCTCGCGCAGTTCTCGCACCAAGTCAGTGTTTAACCCCTCCATTGATATTCATAAACTTTAATATAAACAAATTTTGCTTTTATGATCTAGTTAATCTTTAGAATACATTTACACCGTGACTTAACCTGTTATTTTAAAGTATCGTTATGTTATTAAAGACATAAGGTGTTTGGTTTACCTCGATGATGTTTTTTGGTTTAGTGGCAGCCTTCGTCAACATTTTGAGAACATTTCATGGCTTATTCCACATAATTCTATGTAATGCACACGCCAAAAAACTCAAATGAAATTGTGCATGAGGTAATCTTAAATTAATGTAATTGTGACACGAAAATTTATTGAAGTACAGCTTATCATTAATCATGTGAATTCTTGTGTTATCTATTGCCGTTGTATTGCGATTTGGAATAACTGAAATGACTGATTTATCAAAAATCAAATAATATAATATAATATAATAAAAATAGTTCTCAGGACGCGATATTAGTTACAAGGCGCAACCTTTTTCAGTTAGGTACTCGATGTTTGGATCAAATCGCATCGATCACGATAACGAGTAGTCTGGATATGTCTGAACGACCGCTACGTAAATTTGGACACCTGAGTTGCCTGCAACTCGTAATTACGATCGGTGCATATGCAGTTTTACCAAATCTCTATCAGCACTGTATAGATAAACTAAGTACACACTTGTAACAAAGATACTCAGTAGAAAGTATCTGGTATCGTAAAAATGAATATTATTGACGCATTCGAAATTATCAAAAAAAAATTACGACCTTTTCTAAAGTTAGAATGCAACAGCATGTTTGGGCTCATAAATCGTATTTCTTACAATAACTAACATTACTAAAACTAATTATATAGATTAGTAAGACAACCGTTTAATTGATTTTGCAGAACCCGAGGAACCAATTCGATCTGAGATGGACAATTCACTACCAACGGCAGGGATGCGCCGGCGGCGTGACTCCGGTTAGTCTTTACGTCACATTAGCACTAATTAACACATATTCACCTATATTTGGCACCAGTTTGCTCGAATTTCTTTTTCAGTACTATAACTTAAAAAAAAATAACAATAATAATTATTTGATTCCTGGTAAGAATAGTTTTATAACACTATATTTTGGTTGTGAACCAATTTGGCGTTACACCTTTGTGGTCACTCACAGCCCAGCTAGCTGGTATAACGGTCGAAATCTTTAATTAATGTAAAAACAGTGAACGAGTAAACAATACTCTTTCCACTCACAGAGACTTAGGATATGTGGATATGGATATGACTTAGGATATGTAATTCTGAAGATCAGTTAAGAAATTGGCTATTATAGAATAGTTTCCGTACACGTTTGCACACCAGCGTTACCAACAACGACTTAAAGACATTAAAGGAAAACGTATGCATCACGGGACGCCCGACAGAAATGATAACTAAAACTAATCTAAGTTGAACTATTCAGTATTGAAATGAAACGTTTAACTTGAGAAAAGCTTAGGTTATTACTTAAATTTTATGTAAAGCATCTATACGAAATACGGCTAGCGCTGCGGGTTAGAGTGAGAGAGATGGAGCCTGCCTACCGGTACCGTATGCGTGAGAGAAAGGGAAGCCAGACAGAATGGCGCTGCTACGTAACGAAGCGGTTTACCCTTCCATAAGAAGTTATCACTTAAAAAAAGCATTTTATGCATATGTGGATCTCTAGAGGTAAACCATGGTAGACAGAAAACTTTAAAGTTTCAGGATTATAAACACTCGTTGAGCTTGGTAAGCTTAGCGAAATAAAGTAGCATTGGGTACGTCATTGTCTGAAACATTCAAGTGTCAATTCTATTGCACGCTTTACGGAGCAGCAGAAGCTTGATGACAGGTAACTTTTCAGATGCCACTTTCGACAGCAGCGATAACAGCGATACTGATGAGGAGGACAATATACAGGAGAGAGGAACCAACACCACGGTGGACTCTATCGCATCGTCTCCTGGCATCACCACAGCCGATTTAAACATGATAAGAACAGCTGGTGTAGAAAATAACGTTACCGGCAATGGGATCTATGTTGTTAATGAAAATTCTAGACAGGTGGGTACTTAAATTATTGAAATTTAAAAAATTTACAGTCTGTGTAAGTTTCTGCCTTCCGGCTTCACAGAAGGCAGAAACTAGCATTACTAGTATAATTGGTGTCGTCAAACCGTATAACCACCCATAACGAGTGGTATTACACTCAACAATTTGAACTGTAGTCTTGATTATTATTATTGATATATTATGATTATTTAATTCTAATAATACGAATATTTCCATGACAAAATAATGTAATATATATTATTATGTAGAATTATTTTAATATTGGCATGCTAATAATGATATAAAAATTGACATACAGAAAAATTATTTTTTAATTACTTGGACTCAATATTTGTAGACGCATAAATTGTATTTTCTTCTTTCTTTTGTGATGTATTTAAATTGTAATTATTATTTTCTCGATTTAATATTTGTACACCACGTAATGTGGTAGGATGTAGTGGAACTTTAACATAACATTTAAGATCTGTAAGTAATCTATATTCCACAAATAAAGTATTATGCATTCGCCGATTTAAATATAGTTATAAACACGATTTTTGGAAATTAATCTCAATTACCCAAAAATGGGTAATTAACAACAATTCTCAACAATTTGTACCGTTCGTTATCCTTTGCACTATAATCTGCGCACAGGTGCTAATCACTACGTGTGCACGTGCGTGCTGAGTTAACGGATGTTCAACAAGCATCTTGACAAATTCGGCTGTAGACAAATCTCGGGATAAATATTTTCTTAATGATCCAGAGAACGTACGCATACTACGTGACCCGTTTCGATGGTCTTTAAACTACCACGCTTTGTTACAGGAGCGGGGGGAGGATTTAGGTTTCCGTCACGTTATTAATATCTTCTTAGTGTTTTTTTTAAACTTGCAGGCAGCTCATATTTGACTTAATTTTTTTTTTACTTTCTGTTTGCATAAAATGATTTAAAATCATATGCATGAATAACTACGTAAAAACTAGAGGACGTGGGGGGGGGGGATATTATTATTGTAAGGTTAATAAGCCAAGATCTTTGTAAAATACTGTCTAGCACTAATATTTACAACCAAACTTAACATTATGATATTTACTCATTTTAATTTGGTGGCATTTTAATGAGTAAATATCAAAACACTAGTTATTAATAATATTATGGCTAAATATTTAATCGACTATAGTTAAACCGCCGTAAGCTTGGCCCTCCTGATGGTTTGCGGGACGCGGGGCGGGTGATGCGCTCGGCTATACATGACACGATGTACTAACTCGATGTCTTCAGTTTTATTTGTTTGAGATTTAATCTACACACGATGTAATAAAAATCGAATTTATTTCCATGTATTATAAAGTCAGTGTATTGTAAGTTTTTATGATTAATTGTAAAATTTAATACTGTAAAATAATTTTAATAAAATCACCTTATCTTCATCATGTAAATTATATTCAGATACAATTTAAAAATTAAGTAAAATAATAAATATTCTTTATTAGAACTTTAACAGTAGAACCTCTGTAAGCCGAACTTCAAGTTTTAAAATCTTTTTGTGACGCAGAGTCGGCAGATTATCCATGTTGCAAAATAATACCGTGTGTAGCAGTCTTAAGAAAAATAACACGTACAGCCACGCTTTCACGTCAGTCACTGCCGGCGGACAGCGACGCACTAGCTAATTGGTTGAATGCACCTCCGCCCCGCGTCCCCCAAACCATCAGGAGGGCCAAGCTTACGGCGGTTTAACTATAATCCATTGTATCGAATCGATGTCAATTACTTTGATGGCAACACTCGGATAATGTATTTAATGTTCGAAACGAGATAAAAGTGGGCATTCATTTTTCGACGGTAGAACCATACAGTTGTGACTAGAATAAATCCGATTAAATCCAATTAATCAGCGTTTAATTGAGAGATAAAGACAGGACTCCTTTATTATGAAGTAAGAGGGGGCAGACGACCAGACGAGTCACCTGATGGAAAGTGACTACCGTCGTCCATGAACCCCTACAACTCATTAGTCACAAACGCTTTGCTTTATTTATCACTTATTAGTCAATCATTAAACAGGCGGTGCGGGAGGAGCAGCAAGAAGCGCGTGAGGGACAGCAGGACACGCCAGAGAGGCAACGAAAGTCACTAGAGAGACAGCAGGAGACACTTGAAAGACAGCAGGACACGCCAGAGGGTCATCAGGTGACGCAAGAGGGACAGCAGCAGGCGCAAGAGGGGCAGCAGGACGCTTTAGAGGTACAGCGGGTGGCGCGGGCAGCACTCGAGGCTCAGCAGGAGCGGCCGTTCGGTCTGCCGGCGCGCCTGCACGTGGCGGCGCTGGCGCGGCGGCGCGAGCGCGTGCTGCACGCGCGCTCCACGCGCTACCTGTACACGCTCTACACCGTCGGTCTGTTCTACGCACTGCCCGTCATACAGTTCGTCGCCGCCTTCCAAATCGTAAGTGTACACACGCCGTACAACACCGCTTCCACTTTAGATTTTTTTATGTATATGGTAAACCGTAACAGTAAACCAATATGCAATCCGACCGCCGACAAATTGTCGCTGGAGCTAGGTTTACTATAACCCGGCAATCTCGTGCGCGACCGTCCCGCGGGGTGACAGACAGTGGCGGGGGCGAGGTAGCGCGTCATTCTAGCACACGGCTACACACGAAGAGAAGCGTTTTCCTTCCCCGCTACACCACCCGCTACCCGCTGACATCTTGAGTACCTCGTCCCCGCCACCGTCTGTCATCCCGCAGGACGGTCGCGCACGACGTTGATGGACTAGAACTACAGTTACACTACCGTTAGTGCAATAACATGAACGCTGAACATCTTATACACAATAACACAAATATTCATTGACCTGCATTTTTTAAATAGGAGGTTGAATAATCTATATAAAATTTATAAACTATAGATTAGTTCAAACGAGACGGCGTTTAAGAGCTACATCACAAAACACGAACTCAATACTGTGTTGTCGCTGTGACTAAGCGAGCTTGATACTTGTGCTAATATAAAATGATTTGTACTTTTATAAACATTTGATTTTTTTTTAATAAGGCTATTCCAAAGATATACTTATAGCTATGATGTTTGTTCGATACATTCTTGTTGTTCACAACCTTAAAGTTCGCAACATTCCTTCCACTCACCTGTGTCACATCATTTAAAAGTAGCCACCATGTCTTGTGTTCACTTGTTCCCAGTGCGTGTTGTGTGTGCAGGTGATGAACTTGTGGGGCTCCCTGGACATCTGCTACTACAACTTCCTGTGCGCGCACCCCGCCGGCACGCTCTCCGACTTTAACCACGTCTACAGCAACGTCGGGTACGTTCAACAACCCTACTGTACCACTCGGAACTGGATACTGACCTCTCGTCTTTGCCTTATATGTATATCTTATAGTTTAACCAGGCAGTCAGTGCAGTCGTCACGATGTCCTCATACACTCTTGGTCGTGGTGTAAACTATTTTGTTACCACACCGATTATTACACGCTTCCCTAGATAAAAACGGATAACCATAAAACCATTTGCTGAAGAAGTCAACTCTTAGAGCGGGCAGGATTTCAATCCGAATATTTTGACGTGAACATTTTGCCTCAGCGACACTTTGACTGACTCGGCAACCAAAGATACATTCTTACATAATGATACCTCTTTAATGTGCACACACTTTTTATCTCATCGCGCCAGAAAGGGGGGTTATGTTTTGCGAATATAATGTGTACATTTCTTTGGCACGCTCTGTGGTCTAAACGGCTTGATCTTGGCTTGAAAGGTGTCGTTAAATTCGTCCTAATTGTGTGTGACTGAGTATATGAAAATTATAAAAATAAAATCGCTAGTTTGGAAATTTTAATATTCAACATTTTCGGCAAGTTGGTAATTTTGTTTTTTTCCAGATTTAGATTGTTTATCAAGCACATTTAGTCATCACAATAAAATACACACATTATCATGAATATCAGGTCTGTCCTCAGTTTAACAGTCACCTTGAAAGAATGATATCTTTAAATACATACAAATAGAATAAAAATGCTAACTACCAGTCCTTCCTCAACACGTTTGCACATTTTTGAAGCTCTTCTTCGGAGCTTTCTAAGGAGAGGCCTATGTCTAGCAGTGGACTATTAAAGGCTGTTGATGTGTGATTTGAGGTTCGGTCTGTTACAGGTACTTGTTGCTGGGTGCGCTCTTCATGCTGCAAGTTCGCCGTAGGAAGATGAGAAGAAAACGCAAACCAAGGCACGAGGTATGGACGACATTCTTTTACAGTGATTTGAAATCTTCCGCAAGGATCTTGTCTAGGGTTTAAAATACCTTTCCAAGGGTCTTCTAAAACAGCACATAGTCTTCTCAATATTTCCACTAAGAGTGGTCTTGCACCAACACCCCCTAACAGCTACTAAGCACATTACTTGGACTATTTTTTTTCTTTATTCTCTATTATTAAAGACAACTCCTACATTAGGAATATATATTGTCGAACCCGTTCAGGAAGGGAGACGTTAGACCCTTCGCTTCAATCCTTTTCTTTCCTTTTACCTAAAGTAGTTTAGGGTTCTCTGTTTTACACAATGTGTTTTTAACGAGTGCTACACTATTTACAAATTTGGTTGTTCCAAATCCTTACTAGAGCGAAGTTCCCTGTCGGATGGAATTTCGTCTCTCATCACAAGGAAAATTGATTTGTGTCACGATTTGTTAAGTAATATCTAGAGATTAAAATTAAGATGCTTAATGGTCTAATGGTTCTAATGGAGTTGCATAGCCGTATACCCTGGATTACATAGGCGCGTATAGACATACGTCACTTAAATAATGTGTTCTGTGCCAACGACACCGTTTGTAAATAAGAGATGTAACAATTGAGCTCATCCCCAGGAGTACGGCATCCCGGCGCACTACGGGCTGCTGTCGTCGCTGGGCGCGTCCATGATGATGGTCGCGCTGCTCTCCGCCGCCTACCACATCTGCCCCAACAGGCTCAACTTTCAGTTTGGTGAGCATATCTCAAAAGTTTTCTGTGAATTTAAAAAATTAAACTTTGGGAATCAGGCACACGGCTTTTAATTTTATTTTCTAATAAGTAAATTAAAAAAGCAGGTTCTTAAAAATTAAAATACAATGTATCCATAGCAAAATATATAAAACTGTTTAACAAACTCACGCCTAGACATTAAAATCTTACCCTGCTTTCACAACAATTCACCCCAGACAAGCTACATGTTAAACCCGACCCCCAGACACGGCGTTCATGTACGTGCTGGCGGTGCTGAGCATGATCAAGATCTACCAGGCGCGTCACCCCGACATCAACGCGCGCGCGCACGCCACCTTCGCGGTGCTCGCCGTGCTCCTCTTCCTCGGTACGTACTTGCTAATCTTTTCCCAGCTATGGGAAGTACGGGCAACACCATCACTGAGCGTGACAAAGTGTCTGTCAAATTTATCTACGTAGATGGCGCTGTCATACCTCTAAAACGTGAAAACGTATGAGACGAACAGGTAACTGAATTTTTATAATTTTCATATACCCAGTGTCACTCTGATATTAAGATGAATCTAAGGACACCTCCCAAGTCAAAATCTATCAAGCAAATATACATGCGTACACTCGAAAAACATAAACTTCCTTGCCGCGCAGTAGTGTAGAAAAAAATATTTAAAAACCTAACTGTGCTTTATCATCTGTCAAACCCGTCATTGTAGTTTTCAATGTCAATTAAACTAAGTGAATCCCAATTTAAAAAATAAATTTGCCGCACCACAATTAATTTTCAATTCGCTTGGAGGGGTCCGTGTGGTGATGGATTAAGAATACAGAGTGTCACCACCCCTATTCATCCCGTGGGTGTCGTAAGAGCCAAATAAGTTAAAAAACTACCCAGAACAACAACACTGCAGAGAGAAGGCCGTCTGGCCAGCGGCCAGCATCCAGCGTGGTAGGCCAGAACCTCCTTTCTAAGGAGAGGCTTATGTCCAGCAGTGGACTGTTAAAGGCTGTTGATGTGATGCTAGAGGGGGTTGGGTGCTGGGCATGGAAACCATTAAGTGTCAGTTCTTACGGTTTCAAGTAATTAATCAAAATGTAAGCTCGCCAAGATCTCTCCTCGCCCGAGTTAAAAACTGGATCCGGTTTTCCGTTCTTGTCGTTTTAAAATACAATTTGCTGCTCTCAAATGGTATATAAGAAGTTCTTGCTTAATATCATCCGCAGTAGACAGGAAGTTATCGTTTGTGACATATATTCAAATATAATACTGGTCGTAGTGGTGTGGGGTGTGCTGGGCGGTGGGCCACTCTTCTGGAGCCTGTTCACCGTGATACACATCTTCTCTTTCCTGATCATCTCGCTGCGTATCTACTACGTCGGACAGTTCCGTCTCGGTAATTAAGCATAAATAAAATTTACTTTAAAAGTCAAATATCTTGATTATCAAATTAATCTGTGAGTAATATGCATGGCTTAATAATTATATACTTAATACGAGGATTATAATAACTTTCTATGGACTCGGTTGACATAAAATTAAGTTTTGTTCTATCTGAACAAAATTAATGCAATTTATTATTCGTACGGGCTTGGTTGGCTTCCTTTAAAATGGTCCCGTTACAGAGAAGGAGAGCCTGCAGGTGGCGGCGCGGGAGCTGCGCTCGCTGCCGCGCTGCGGGCTGCGGCCGCTGTACATATCGCGGATGGTGATGCTGCTCATCGCCAACGCCGTCAACTGGGGCTTCGCGCTGTACGGGCTGTTCACGCAGGGCGGTGACTTCGCGAGCCACATGCTCATGACGCTGCTGGCCAACACGCTGCTGTACATGGTGTTCTACCTGGCCATGAAGCTTCTGCACGGCGAGCGGCTGCGCTGGTACGCGTGGGCGTACCTGGCGGGCGGCGCGCTGGCGTGGGCGCCGGCGCTGTACTTCTTCGTGTCGGGCAGCTCGGCCTGGTCGCTCACGCCCGCGCTGTCGCGCCACCGCAACCACGAGTGCATGGTGCTGCAGTTCTACGACTCGCACGACCTCTGGCACATGCTCTCGGCGGTGGCTCTCTACTTCTCCTTCAACGCGATGTTGACCTGGGACGACGGTCTCTCCGCCATCAAGCGTACGGAGATAGCCGTATTCTAATATTTTATAGCATAGATTATATTTTGTGTAAGCGATTTGGTATTTCATTTACTCCATATATTTCTAGTCCGAATGTACAGTACCAAGACATAAATACTCGGGTAACGGGACTGTTACAATAGTATTATGTTGCCCATCAATTTTTTCAAGAGTCCCTGCAATCGCTACAGTCCTGGCACTATGATATGGGGATCTCACATCATTTTTTTTTTTACCAAAAAAACGAACACCTTATTTTATTTACATCTATCGAAAACTCAATGTAAGAGTAGAACTCCCGTGCGACAATTTCGATTTAATATTTAGTAAGTATGACGTAAGATATTTGACATTAATGTATTTCTATGGAAAATATAAAAATATTTTAGTTTAAAAAATAACAGTTTTTATTGCTTATAGGACATGTAATTATATTAAAAAACATAATTGTTTGCAACAAAATAACCTCAATATTCCATGCTTAAAAAGAACGGAGATTTTTTTTTGTTGTAGGTTTTATTTTTTAATTCCTTTATAAGGAAGAATTGGGATCCTATTTTTGCTATATGCATATTTTGATAAACTGTAACCATAGAAAAAATAGGATCCCAATTCTTCATAGCGGTTTCAACCCGAACATTTTATATCCGAAAGCCAGAAAACAGTTGGTCAAAAAGTGGGATTAAACTTGTCGATACTTTCATATTTACAATTTACTTATATGGGAAATATATATACTTATTTATTTATTTATTTGAAGTAAAAACAACATCTTTAACATTAAAATGGTATCAATAATATATAACATTTAGCCAATTAAAGGTCTTCACAGAAGCACTATTTTACACAATTTTGTGCGGCTAATGTACACACCTTACATACTTCTTACACCTGTTGCCCCAAAGGGCATGGGCGTACCCAACATTTATTTAGGGGTGACGCAAAATTGAGAAAACTAGATGAATGATTGGAATTTAATATACTATTTACCTTTAACATTACTTCAATAATAGACTGCAAGGATTTAGGAAAAACCTGTTTGAAATTTCGTTTATTAACCTACCTACCTACCTACATACCTACGTATAGGAAGAGGGTTCTGGAATCACAAAATAAGTTAATAAACGAAATTTCAAACAGGTTTTTCCTAAATCCTTGCAGGCTATTATTGAAGTAATGTTAAAAACGATCGACAATGACAGAAAAAAGTGAATGTGTAGACATTCACTTTTTTCTGTCATTGTCGATCGTTTTTACTCTGCGTAAAGTGTTAAAAAATCTTTCGATTGGAGTTCTAACTGGTTTTTTTTAAATATTTTTGATAATTAAATTGACCAAAACGTTCAGGAGACGCTTTAAGTTTGTGTAATTATTTTAAAATTTAGTTTTGCTTGGCACAACACTTTGCTGTTGTGCCAATCCAAAATAAATAGGAAAAGGGTAAGAAAATGATGATGATGGACAAGTACATATTATTTTCTAAAAAGATTCTTTGCAATCTGAGGGAATAGAGATTAAACCTTTTTCACGTAAAAAGATTTACCAGTGGTAGTAATAGTAGTTGGTAAAAATGCTTGTTTTGATTGTCCCATTGTCAGCAAACTCAGCAACATCAAACAAATTTGCCTTGAGAGTACTCAGCTTGTAATTACAGATTTTTCTTACTCTTTAGATCAGATTATAAAATTAGGAATCGAACAAATTAGAAAACCTAACAATATGTATTTTTTAATCACTCACACGTAAATATCCCATACAATATACATTATAAAACATTTCAGTCTCCACTTAGCTAAACGTATCGTGAATGTGATGTCCACGAGTTCACCAAACAAAGCAACAAAACGCTGTAAGATGTCAGTGACACAGTGACGTCACGTCAGCGACTGTCGCGTTCTCATTATTTTTATTTCGCAATTTCGAGGATTTCTGCATATAGTTATTGTTTTGTAACGAAAAGTGAGTATTACTAATCACTAAACATATCGAAGAGATGGATAACCAATACTACTATAAACTAATGGCGAGCTATCTATCAAAACGGAACTGTGATGAGTCGTTTATGAGATATTTTTTCGGTAAGAACTCGCTAAAGAAAACACCCGAGGAAATGGAGCGAGCGGATGAGAGGAAACGAAGACTTCAAAGAGAGCGTTCCCGTCGCTACAGAGCTCTGAAGAACGCCCGACGTCAGCATGAAGGTGGCGGTGGGGGTGCGCGCGACTCCAGTGACGGGGACGCGGCGCGGGCCAAGAGTGGCGCGCTGGCTCTCGACGACGAGCTCAGTGACGGCGACGAGCCGCCCACGCTCTGCGATCTCAACTACGACGATAAGTGGCGAGAGCCCGGCGCTTCCTCTGACTGGGCTTCCGACGACAATTCCGCGCACTCCGCCGCCGAGCTCAAGGAGGCTGCACTATCCGGAGACTGTTCATTGAGCCTCAAGGAGTTCTTGAGCTCGCCCAATGCAGAGCTCGACTATCCCACTGTCCACAGCCTCATGTTCCACTGGCTGCAGACGTAACACTGTGCTACAAACGCTCCACACAAACAGCAGATAAGTCAGAAGCAGCTCAAATCCCTCTCTCTTTCAAAGTATAAAATTCACATCGGTAAAAAGTTTTGAGCACCTCCAATGCTTTAGAGAAGGTTTAACATAAATTAGAGTAAAAGCTGGATCTGTCATTGAATCTCATGCCCCGTTACAGCTGTGAGTGTGGTAGTCATACACATATCAAATTGTTGCTGCTTTTATGATAATTGATCACTGTGTCGACAGAACCGTCCTGTTATGATTTATTGACTAATTAGATAGCAGTAGGTGTACTTTTATTGTAGATAATAATTAAAGGTTCAGGGTGGTTTAGATAGCTGTGCAGCTTAAGATAGCTTCATGAAAATATATTATAATATCTCCTTTTGATATTATTCTTAAAATCTATCAAAATTATAACTGAACATTGTCATTGTATAGAGATGCATTGCAACCATCACATGCCCTTCTCACTGGCCATTGTGTAGAGGAGCTGTAAAATTATCTGCCTGCAGGTGCCGGTGCACCATCACCACACAAGGAAACCATTGTCAAGAGAAAAGGATAAAAATACTAAGATGTAAAATATTATCATACTGCTTGAGATATTACACAACAAAACTAACAGACACAACAACTATGTTTAAACTGCATACATTCTTCTAGTATTATTGAAAATAACATATCAAGTATTGGAACATATGATAACATAATTGTGCACTGGTTGTGTGATGTACATATTAATGTGTCGCAGACAATACTAGCCTGTGGTGATGGCAAGTGGCAGTGCTGCAGTGTTGTCTGAGCGGCGTGGGCACTCGCACACTGCTAGCTCGCCACTCCAGCTGATAGAGTATTCCACTAGACAATAAGTTGTTATTAAGTTGCCATATCCTAATATTTAGATACTCAACAATTATACATAATTTTATCATATATATCATAGAGATGTATAGAGTATTATATACTATAGTTTGTGATACGAATGAATTTACATTTTGTGTGAAATCTACAATGTTAAATGTAACTGTAGTATGTAAGCCTGCGTGGATGGCACTAGTCCACACATCACACGCTGCAAGAGGTAAGACTTTAGCACACCTCGAGTATTTGTTGCTGTACATAACATTCCTACTACAAAAACTTGCCATACATTTTGTAGTTTTATAAACATAAATAGATCAAGCGCATTTACTGAAAAGGGGGTTTTGCTAATCTTTCAGATCTTGTTGAGAGTTGAGGTGTAGCAATTTTTTTGTGTTTGGGTATATAAAATGTACCAATAAAACAAATATTATGTTTTTCAAAATTTTACATAGGTTACTAAATTTAACTGAAAACCTATGTATTTTTAAATTTTGCAAAAAGTAAAAAATCGTGGTTTGCGCTTAACAGCAGCAAGTAAGTTTCACAATACTTAAAGATAAAAACGAATAGTCCATAGCTTGTAGTAATATTAAGCTCTTTTATTGCTTTTCTTCCATTTATAATCCTAATAACATCATTTTCTTAGTGTTGCCATGTTAGTTTGAAACATGCAATCAATGTTGTATTAGATCAAGGGTAGCTAACCTTTTTACCCGACTGCATAAGGTTTATGATTTCGAGTGTATGTATGTACATTTTTTGGCACGCTCTGTAGTCTACACGCCAGATGGATTTTGGCTTGAGAGTTGTCGTAAGTTTCGCCTTAATTGTGAATGACACTGGGTATATCAAATTATAAAAATTAAAATCGCCTGTTTGAAAATTTGAATTCAGGTTCACGCAGTCGGGTTTGCTTCTTTTAACAACTAGCTTGTTATATTAATGTGCCATTGTTTCTGAATAATTGTTTAACGAGGTCACAATCAAAATTAGGAGAGTAATAATAAACACTATTGACTCAAATCTCTTCGTTATTGTTGTGATCGGTGACGTGCTCAAAATATTGTGCCGCGTGCCATTGGTTCGCCATCTCTGTCCTAGATGGATCGTAGATATAGTTCCTCGACATTTAGGGTGATGAGGAAAAATTATCTGTTATTGTTATAAACGAAAACAGGCAAGATCCAACAGTTGGAGTAAAATTTAATAAAAATATTACTAAGGTTCACTGACACAGACTGTTCGCACGTAGAAATATTGTCTCAAGCTACAATCTATTTAAGAAATGGATCTGAGTGAATTAATGGAATAATTATGTTTTAATAGTTTTTTACCAAAATTGGTCCGTGTTGTGTGAAAAGTTGCTCACTTGTTGCATGCATTTATCAGAAATACTCTGAATTTGTTTACTTTGCTCTCTTATGATAAACAATATTGTCTTTTACATTTATGTTAGTTTTAAAAATAATGAACAAATGAGATGTTCACACTGGTCACATTATTTAAATATGTTAGGTTAACCCTGAAGTTAATTGAATATTATTTTGCTTGCTTTGTGAAAGTAATGCTTTTGGTTAGACAATCTATTTTGTATTTAGAGTGTGCTGTTATGCAGGCTTCTAAGGTTCTGTGTAACGTTGCGATAAAATTAATATATTAAAAGTTAAGCTGTTGACCCAGCACTTCGACCTAATGAAGTACCTATAGGCTTGAAAAATGCTCATGCTAGATAGTGCAGGCGTTGTACAGAATAATAATTTACAAGTTATAGCTTGCCTGACATTAGTCAGTGGAATTTGTCGACGTGCACACCTGAGTGCCTCTACGTCTCATGTTATGTGACACTAATTACACAATGTTATTGATACGCGAGTCAGCCATTTAATTAGTTTAGTTTTAAGCACATGTGGATGCCACTAATTTTATATACAGGCTATAATATAGGTGCAGTTACGAGTTACTCCATTGATTTACTACAGACCACTGTTAAATGTAAAAGAATTAATATTTGTGTTTGTGCATTGCCCCTTGTGTAAGTTTTTGACTTACGAGTGGCGTTAATTTTTTTATAAATTTATTTGCTTAAAACGGAACTTACCGCAGACAAGGTTAGTGTTCTTTCCTGTTTAAAGTTACTCCTGTACGTTCGAAATCTCTTTTGACAACGTATGCGCGTGATACTCATTGCATGTAAAAAATATATATATCAATGGGGTATCTGTACTGCTACCATACTATGTTTTAGGTGCTTTCATTATAATTTGTTTCCTCAGTAATAGTACTGGCAGTTTAATTGACTAGGTAGGTAAAGAGTTAATGGCGTCGTGAGGGGGTGCGTGCTGAGCATTCGCAGCTAGTTTCGTTTTTGTTGAGATACACCGAGTGCCATTCGTCCTGCGGTGTTGAGCGCGCGGCCCCCGCGACCCGCGATGCCTTGAAGAGATATTGTAACGTTATTCTAACGCGTAGGTACTGTAAGGTAGTGCCATATTAAAAGAGCTTCCTGTCTATTTTTAAACGATCTTTTATTTATAAATACTTAATAAAATAACGCAGCTTGTCCTTCCTTTTTAATTACACGTAGTTTCTACACATTTCACAAGACATACAGCTGAAGTTAAACGTTCTTTTCGGATTTGCCAAAGCCCACCCAGTAACTGTTTTATTAGGGATTAATTTCGGTTAAATCACTTTAAAATAAGTCAAATATGTATTAGCAACACACGCATTACCCTCCTGTTTCCCTCACGTGAAAAGTTTTATACTGATAAGAACATTTACGAAAAAGACGTCAAATTTTTATTTACCTACTTCATCATCATCATCATCATCAACAGCCTTTACTAGTCCACTGCTGGACATAGGCCTCTCCTTACGAAGGAGGTTTTGGCTTACTTTACCTACTTATGAACATTTTATTTTAAAGCTATTCAATCATAGAAAATATACAATAATATCGAATTGCAGAAAGTTTTAATAAAATTTTAATTAATAACGTTCCCTGTTATAAATTATGTTTAATATTACAATAATATGAATTTCTTTCATAAGTATTAGGTAGGTACAACCTTCAGATTACAAGTTGTAGGTATTTATTTTGGAATCTAATTAGTGAATATTAATTCACTATTAATTGATGAATATTAATTCACTATTAATTGATGAATATTAATTCACTAATTAGATATTCTATAATTATGAATTTATTATCATTATCTATATTTAACTGATAAATTTTTAGTGTCAACTGCAACTGCCTCGGTGGTGCAGCGGTAGCGTATGCGACTGCTGTGCTGAGGTCTCGGGTTCGATGCCCGGGTCGGACCATGTTTATATGATCTGTAAATATTTGTTTCGGATTTTGGGTGTTAACAAAAAAAGTATATAACTATTTTAGTCTATCAGTCAATCTAGCTTTCATGGTACAAGCTCTGCTTGGTTTGAAACTAGATGGTTGTGTTTGAAATGTTGTCTATGATTGTATAGAAAGATATTTGTTTATTGATGATGATCTGCGGAGAAGCCATAGTGATAGTACTGTCTCAGGATGATGTTTGCATTTTCAACCCACAAGATGTCTGTTGAAGAAGAAAATTTTAAACTCACTCGTGTTCATAAACAACAATGAATGCCTTCTCTTGGTGGCTCAAAGTTTAGTGAATCGTTTATTATGTCTGGTTAGTTGTCTTTTACGAATAAGAAAACTAAGTTGTTACAGAGTACTTTTTACAGGCTTGCGTGAAATAAAAATACAAATGAGATGTCCAAAATGTATGTATAATTAGGTACAATATAAATGCGACTTGGGACCTTGACAGAGTAACATTTGGTACCTCGTCTGGTTCTCCCACGTGCGCGTGCACCAGTATGGTGTTCAATGTCAACAGCTCCCTCGCTGACGTCGGTGAACACACAATTCTAAACATTCCTCTAATAATCATGTTTTGAAACTCGCTTAACCGTTACATAAAATATAATATAATTATGTGTGTATATCATAACTTTGGCACCGATCTATCAATCTTAAATAATAAGTATTACAATGTCGCACAATACCATGTTGGGATGCCCCCCCTCCCCCCTCCCCCTATCATATACTTGGTGGACTTGGTGGAAATTGAAGAACACTTAATTAATAAATACCATACTGTTTAATAAAAGTAACAAAATAGAAACAAACATTTTGTTATGTAATAACATGAAAATATTACAATTTAACATGAAACAAACTAAGTACCGGTGGAATGCGACAATAACAGGTCCCCCCCTAATGTGTTAGCAGTTGATAATTTGGAAAGATATACCAAGAAGAAAACAACTTATTTAAAATTATTTAACTATCACATATTGCTTTTTATAATGACACAAATACGACTAGTATTAGTTTCCAAATGTCGGGAAGCCTCCTCGCAGTCCACTCTCCCGATATTAAGACTATCAATCGATCAAGAATTATTTACAACGATTCATCGGCCCCGGTGCCACTGTGCCACGGTCTACTCGAAACACGCAACATCCTGGTCGCACTCGGTGATGTGTAAACCCTGGCTGTTAATCAAACAGTAAGGTAACGTTCTTATGCTTTTTTTCCAACTGTAAAAGATAATTAAAAATATAATGTATGCGGCGCGTGCGGTTCTGTGTGGATGAGCACAGTGGAGTGTGCGGCCGGCGGACGGCGTACGCGGTCTCGGGCCAGTCGCGGCCGAGCCGAGCCGTCCGGCGTGGGCGACCCCGGGGCCGCTCGTGCCAGCGCCAGCTCCCACTCGCCTAGTTCCGAGTGCGTTAGTGGCCTGTGCTCGCCTTCTTGCGAATTATGAAAAACTGCACCATGTATAAAATCACTTATGTGACAAAAAAACAACAGGTAACTTTCTAAACTAAATGCACGTAATAAGAATGTATCGCGAAATCATCACCGACGGTCGTGGCTCACTCGGTGCTCTTGTTTACTCGCTCTGACGGTTCACTGTTGTTAAAGATTAGTGCATGTTTCACCGATTCCGCCAGCGGGAATTCGGCAGTGCGCCCGACACCAGTGTCACAGAACCCCGCGTAATCGTCCGCGTTCAGTGAGTATATCATTGCGCCTCGCAAGTTATTCTCTCTTATAAAATTCGCTTTCTCCACGACGCTCTGGGGAGTATCATATGACACCCAATCGGTGTTTCTGTACATGTACGGGACCTTAGCTTCGTTATCTTGTACGACACTAACATCAGTAAAATTCTGCACAAGAACACACACATCTGGGTAGTTGATAAAGCCGGAAGTACTGAGTGACCCGAAGCCAGAGGCGGGACTACCCACTCGGGGATTGTTGGCGTTTACCAGGGAGAATGTGTGCCCGTAAGTGGGTATACCGACTACTATTTTGCTACGGTCGAGTCCCTTATCAAGATACATGTGCACCGTGTAGTTAACGTTAAGAGTGGCCAAATACATTTGTTCGCTGGACCTGGGATAAAGTGGAGAATTTAAACCAGTGAACGGAGTGTACTTGTTGTAGAAATGGTAATCGTAAGTCATAATATTGACAAAATCCACATACTGGTTAACTTGATCTATGTCATATGCTAAGTTGACAATAGCCTCTGGTGCTGCCGCTGCAATCGTCAATATGTAGTTTCGTTTCTCTCGGTAATATTCCATTCTGATCTCCCGAAGCAACTGTGAGAAGTGTTGTCTCTCGCGGGCTCCAATCTTCTCTCTATGCACAGCGGGAAACTCCCAGTCAAGATCTATCCCATCTAAACTATAATTTCTCAATATGCTCTTAATAGATTTTATAAATATTTTTCTTGATGCATGGTTCACCACCATGTCTGAGAAGCCGTTGTCGTTGCCAGATCCCCCCACGGATAACAAAATCTTGAGGCCAGGGTTCTTTTGTTTCAGTTTCACCACATTTCGTATAGTCTTGTATTGGTAATCGTCTAATGTTATCTGTTTATTTACGATGCGAGCAAACCCAATATTTATGTGTGTACATAAATGTGGATCAATATTGCTAGGCAGCAACTGCTTAGCTTCACTTTCAGAGGGCAAATTGTAGTAGCAGGAGACCACTCTGTCAGGTTGTGTTTCCAACTGGTCTGAAGCGATGTGCTGAATCGCCATGCTAGCTAAGTGTGTGTATGTGTACACATTAATGTGTGCTGACGTGCGCCACAAGCTCTTATGTGGAATAGAGTTTAGTGGGCCGAGGCCAGTCATATATGTGATCATGATAAATATGAACAACAGACAGGTGGTGACAATGCCCAAACGCCATATGACTGGAATTGGTTTCTTCACTGTTGTACATTTCAATTTAGTACCAACGTTCACAATGAGTATAGACTCAGATTCTTTCAGGCGCTTAAACTTATTATTAATTTCTTCTTTCTTCATTTTTCCCCACATTGCCAGTAGTACCTGAAATAATTGAATTATTGTACTGTCATTAACATAAAAATCATGGTGAATATTTTTTTGTCATCACAGCATCTTGTATATATTAGTAGTTTTAAACTTATAACTAACTAGCTGTACCCATTCTACTTTGCTGTGGTACATTGTGGTTACAAAAAGTAGATGAAAGCCATATTTGTAGTGTGTTGTATATTATGTCAACATTTTTGAACTTTTGAAGCTTACACAAACCAACTTAACATTTTTATATATTTACAAGTTTACTGTGTGTACATTGACTTGACTTAATTCTATTCTGTACAGTGCCTTTCTAGACCTAGAACCATATAGAAAGACTATTTTGCCTCTGCGCTACGGTTGTGATCCTTGAAACGAACTTCTGGAGATGAATTTGACCTTCCTTTAGTATTTCGGAGAAGCGACATGATTTATCTCAGAACACACAGTAAACACATATCAATAGCTATTAATATGCTTATTAAATATGCACATATAAATTAGTTCGATAAAAACTAAAGTTGTGACATTGTAAACACGCTTTCGACAGCTTACTTACCACGTATACTGTTTTTAACACTCTCAAATTGCACTCGCGCGTCTTATAGCACTTACGGAATTTGACAAAATGATATGGAAATTGTAATGTTTTGTGTCAATGATATAAAATAACAAATAAACAAAGGTTTTGTTTATGTGCTAATTTGACAGGAGTTGAGTTTTACTCTCCAGATTACATTGTTTATCCTGATTGGTACAAGTTTAGTCAAGGCTATAGTAACCTACATATCAGCCAACCACAGTGCCATACGCCATGAACGTAATAAGTAATAACATGCGTGAACCAATAGAAAGAGCAGAAACGAATGTACCAACCATGAAGTAACCAAAATTTTAATTAGAATGTTAGAGCGAGAAGTAACATAAATCTGTACAACGGATTTGACACGAGGTTATTTTTTGTCTCAGTCAGCGTATTAGTTTCTAGGTTTATCTATTGATTTCAACGATATCATCGAGATCCTGTGTATCTGTACCGTTTGTGTTATTAAGTTTTTTTTTTTTTATTAAATTTTGTATACAAAATTATTCATTTTATGACTGTGTTGTTTATAACTAAACAAATTTACAACAACAACAGATATATATATTTAATCGTCATCAGCCATACTGACGTCCTATCTATAAATAAATACGCTAAAAAATGAGCCCAATTTATTATATTCAACTAAAATTTAGAGCACAGTCTTAATACAAGACCATTTTCTCCATTTTGAGTATAAAGTAGCCTAGTACCTTTTTAGTTCGAGGTCAGTCACGCAGTTATAAAGTAGCTATACTCTGTCCGTTCCTTTAGTTTCTTTTTTACAGTGTTGAGAAAGTAAAAGTTTGTACAATTTTACTTTCAAACACTTAGTAAGAAGAATATATAAAATATTTAATGTTATTCTCTTTATTACCATTTCATATTACTACGAAAAACACTAAATTCACCGTAATGATACTGTAAATGTAGTATTTTTATATTAATGAATATTATTATTAATAAAAAACAGTTACGTTTTATTGTAAGCAGTGACGATATACACTGTTAAATAATATTATCACTTAAGGTACAGTAACAATCAATTTATTTATAATATTATTTATGTATTATCATTTAAATGTAATAATTAACTAAAATACTTAAAGAATTTCAATATAAAATTGATTTTACTTCGTTTAAGTCCATTACAGTACATGTCCAACGGTTTAATTCCAGTATAACTTCTTGCAACATGATATCATTCTTTATTCTTAACTTTCAGATTAAATTGGGGACTGAAGTAATCTCATGTCGAATAATTGATGTCTTTTCAGGGTGCGTTATTTTGTGTTGTGTTTTTTCTCTAAGAAGCTAATATCACAGCTTAGTGTTAGTTTTTTTACCGTGGGCATAAGAATATAATGACAATTGGCTTAAAAAAGCTTCAATTAAGAGTGAAATTATAAATTTCAAACGTCGTTGAATTGGTGGAATGGTGACTGTAATAGACAAATACAACGAACTCTAATCACAGGTATTGAGTCTGTCTATAAAGATTTCATGTGATTCAGTTTGTCTGCGTAAACTAAAATTGCACAACGACAAACTATTATGTAGAAAGCGAAATTACTCTAACTCAGAGAACAAAATTTCAAAATTCTATACTACCTGTTTACATTAACTCGTTATTTAATAGTTAAACTTAAAAATAAAACGATTTTCAGAAATATCATAGATTAACTTAGGTTTTTTGTTATTTTAATTTAGTGTTTACCTCGACAGATCATGTTATTTATTTCTACAGATTGACACTCTAAGTTTCCGTCCTCTAGAAGTTGCTTGTGTTCACAGAACACTGCTTGTGTATATCTATTTTGTTACCATCACCGCAACTTTGTCGAAGTATGTAGTGAGTTTTGTAGTTTTCTGTAGGTACATGTAACATTCTGAAATATTAAAGTGCACATCTCTACAAGGATGAAAATATAATTCTTAAACATAAAATGAAAAGATTTTTATGCAACCTGCTCAAAACCAAACAAAAATAAAATTTTATTCTTATTTTTAACTCCCTTTTCGAATTTGAAATAAGAAAAGAAAATAATCACAGTACAATAATGTGCACCTCCGACTTTGTAAAATCATGTTTTAAAGATCTACAACATACTTTGTAAACGATCACGTTTGTTAAAAACTGTGACATTGACAGTGACAAGTCACTAATGAGAAACTTAGCCAGAATCAAAGATGTGATAGTTGTGATGTTATAGTAGGGCAAATATTTAATAAATTGCATTATGTAAAGTAACCAATGTAAGCTTAATATTTAAACACATGAGGGGCCGTTGCACCCTCAAATCAAATACCTAGATATGGATGACGAGTCTATGAATCGTTATGAAAAACAGCTGTACACCGTATTTAAAACATTCGACGTAGATAACGAGGAAGCCCTAGACAGATCAGCGGTACATGAGCTCTGTGACGCATTGCAGCTGGAAGACCGAGGCGCGGCTCTCGTGCACACACTGTTCGAGCGACGCTCCGACAGAGTTACCTTCACGCAGTTCCGAAACGGACTCCTGGCCGTGCTCGGCGGCGCTGGCGGCGAATCGGTTCCCGCTAACGTAGCTCCACCCTCAGCCTCTCCTCAAAGGGACCCTGGGCCCCAGCAAAGTGACGACGACTCGTCCGGTCGCGAGGTGGCTCCTAAGTTCGTGTTTGGCTCTAAAAAGTACGGGCGTCGGTCGAGGCCACCTCGAGTCGCTACGAACTCTGACGAGCCGGCCAATGCTCGGTCATCGTCGGCGTCCCGTATCGACACCGAAGACAAAAGATCGAGGCAGCGGATGAAGTGTCGACGCAGTACCTCTGCGATGGAAAGTCGCAATGACAGCAGCGGTATAGACGTCGGGATGGAAGCCGGTACGCCCACCGAAACCTTCGAACACGACCGACGAATCGACAGGGACGAGGCTCTGGCCCTATGTCGCGGCTTACACATGGACAGTATCGACCGCCATCTCGTCGACCGCATATTTGAGGACACCGGAACGACCGACACTACTGTCGGTGAATTCTTCGATCGGTTAAACTCGTCATTGACCACAACGATAGAAGAAACCACTCGCGAATCGCGGGCTCCTGCGGCCGGCGGTGACGCTGCAATCGAATGCGGCGACGACGAGACGGGAGCCGGCGTGCCTAGCGATCTGGTCCTAGAAGCGTTCGAACGAGCCGGTGTCCAGCAGCCACGCCGTCTGCTGGTCGAACTAGGCTTCGCTGCATCAGCACTCCGTCCTCCCGAGCTCGAAAGAGCGCTCGACAATGAACTGCGTGCGCTTCCTGAGGCACCGCCTGAACGCCGCGAGGCTCGTGCTTTACTCCTGACCGCCGCTCTCGCGCTCAGTCGTCTGCGTCATGAGCTCGCTCGTCGTCGCGTCGAGATCACCACTGCCGAGCGCGACAAACTTCGTGGAGACGTGATCGAGGCCAATAAACGCGCAGGAATACTGGCGCAGGAAGTAGACGAGAGTCAGGCGCGTATCGAGTCTGAGTTGAAGGCGAGCATGCGGCGCGCCGAGGTTCGTCAAGCAGAGGCGTCGCGGCAGGCCGCCGCAGAAATCGCTTCTGAGCGCGAACGAGCGGCTGCTATAAGAAACCGACTCGAGGCGGAAATAACGCGACGTTCTGAAGCAGAGTTGCGCGCCCGCAATGAGGCAGAAGCTTCGCGGGAGAACGCTGAAGAGCTCGAGATGCGGTTGAACGCGTTGGAGGAGCGATCGGTGGCTGCAGAGCGGGAGTGCACGCGACTGGCCGCGGAGCTGCGCGAAGCGTTGGAGAGCGGCGCGGCGGCGGCTGCCAACTGCGGCGCGGCGGGCGAGCTGACCGCGCGAGTGGAAGAGCTGCGCGACGAGAACAAACTTTTACGAGATCGCAATGATGAGTTGTGCGCCGCTCTCGAGGCAGCAGAGCGGCGCTCTGCGTCGCGGGCCAGCGATTCCGCCCAGGGTGGAGACCTCTCAGCTGAACTAAATTCGATTTTACCACAGATCCCCCCTGAGGTAACCATCGATCACTTCGATCCGTTTTGTATACAGATTTAACCTATTTTTGTGTTCATTTTGGACTTTGTTTCTAGGAATGTGAATCATCGCCCGTGAGTATCGATCAGAAGCTTTTGGGACAAGTCGAGTCTCTTAAAAGGTTCAGGGAGGTTTTCGAGTCTATAGACACGGTCTTGGGCGTCGATGGGATCAATTGTCAATCGTGTGTCTCCATCGCGAACTGTCTCCGTGAGCTGCAGGAGCGAGTGCGTGACTTCGACTACGGATCAGCGTTAACGGCGGCTTCTCGTAGTGATAGTGCCACACAGACGGACACTGCAGGCGGTTCGGAAAATTTGCAGCAAGATCTGCTGGACCAGGAACGTAAAAACGATGACGAGAAACAGAAACTCACCAACTTAGTCAAGTTAGTATTCTCGAAAGATTTGATAAATCTTTCAACTTTATCAAGCGTTTATAGACATTAATTCGCACAAAACTATACATGACAAAATTATAATGATTCACATGAGACACATAACTATATCATACATATAGACACAAGTTATGAGGAGAAAATGAGTTTAAAATAATTTAATCAGGATGACAATCTAGCAAAAATAAAATTGAATTATTGAATATTACTTAGAATAAATAAAACACTGAGAGATTAGCACGATACTCGACGGTGACAATTCAGAAGATTTAATTTTGTTCACTACACAGACAATCCTCGCTTCCAGGGACCTCGAGATGAGCCTGGAACAGATGAAAGCGGAGTACGATAAGTGCGAGGAGTACTGGAGCAACAAGCTGGAGGAGGAGCGCGACGCCTACAACGAGGAGCAGCGGCTCGGCGACGAGCGTCTCTCGGAGCTGATCGCCAAGATCGCGGACTACGAGCGCCAGTTCACGCGCGCTCCGCTCGCGCTGCCCACCATCGACGAGCGCCACAGCCTCGAGGCGCAGTTCACCGATCTCGATGAGGAGTTCGCGGTCTACCGCCGCACCAAGGAGGCCGAGCTGCAGGCCGCCCTCGCCGAGAGCGCCCGCCTCGCCGAGCGGGTCGACGCGCTGGAGCGGCGCCTCGCCGCGTCGGCCGCCGCGCCGCGCTGCTCTTCCCCCGGCCCTCGGCGCCGCCGCTCGCCGGCCTCGGCCCTCGGCGCGGCCGCGAGCGCGGGGCTCGGCGCGGGCGCGGAGGTGCGCGAGCTGCGCGCGCGCTGCGGCCGCGCGGAGGCGGCGGTGCGGCGCCTGCACGCGCGCCTGCAGGCCGCCGACTTGCTCGTCACGGACCTGTACGTGGAGAACTGCCAACTGGCGCACCGCCGCCCGCTGTGACCGCCGTCCTCCCGTGCCCGTGCTCAGCGTAGGGTCGGATCGAGAGACGGCAGCGTTCGAGCGCCGGTCGCCCGACGGTCAGTCGTTTATTAAAATCATTCGAAGCCGTGTGCGATCGAACCGATGCACGGAGTGAGAAGCGCCCGACGCGGTCCGGCCGTGCGGCGCCGTCGTTCGCCTGTCTCGACCGATACGCGAGACGACTCGAGTTGAAGTGCCTTTCTTCGATACTATATATTTGTTACCCGTTTACTCGGGCACCTGTTCTGCCCTCTCGTCATCCCGCTCGTTCCCCGCCACGGTTTACCGTCGCGTTCATCCTCATTATATGTCATATAATGCAAAGAAATGAACAGTAAGTGTAAATTAATGTAGCCATTCAGAGCGGTTAGACTCCCCTACCCTCCCCCCCCCCCCCCCCTCCAGCACCCTGTTGAAAATAATATATTACAGTACAGTGTAATTGATATCATTACATCTAGGGTTCTACACACCGATGAACTTTAAGTAAGGCTAATGTAATGTATGTATGCATTTGCAAAGTGCTCCTAACTGCAACTTCTGATATAACTCACCTTTGATTTTCATTTTGTATTAAGTATATTAGACAAAGTTAAGTTTGTAAAATATATTGAAAATAAGTGAGGAGTTAATAAATTAACTTATGACGTTGGCATGTGATTGAACTGACCGTATCCTTTTGTGTTGTATACATTGTGTCATGTTCCCGTTATCTCTCTATTAAATTCTTACATTAGTAACAATCATTACCTAACTCAACCTTTTTGTCAACAATAAGATGTCATTTCAGACCTCATATCCATGCATAAAAGTTAAACAGGCCAGTTTTCAAACATCCTTCTTTATAACACAGCCGAGCTAGTTTTGAATAAGCACTTTGCAAGATTAGAGGATGTACATTAGCCTTAATGGTTCCTTACGTGAAATATGTCACAGAAGATCTGATGTAGATCTTAAAGTATATTGTGCTTTCAGCTAAATCCTTGTAAATTGCCTCTTGAAACTACAACCAAAACAAAATTTTAATGAAGTGTGTGATTGTCTGAAATAGAATATACTCTTAGTTGGAGTGGTACGCAACACAACATGATTAAAGAGATTGTTCAAGATATCACCTTATCATGTGAGAAACAGTTATTTATTTATTTCTACAAAACTGTTTAAGATCTGGATGTGATTCGTGTCTGTTATTTAAGTTTTGTCAATCTACTGTACCAATGCCCGGAATATAAGGAAGGAATCCTATCCCTAGCCAGTGTGTTCATCAAAATAATGAGCGTCTTATAATGGTTACTCGTTAACAAACAATCGGTATTTACAGTATAATGTAACAGTGCATTGAGAATGAAGCAAGTTGCATGCACCTGGCCCCCATTCGACCCCATTCACTAGAACTGAGCATTTAAACTGCATATTATTTAGTCATTTGTTTTACATAGTTTATTAAATTATTTTTTAAATATTGATGGTCGATTTTGTGCATTAGAATGTAGACGCGTTAAAAGTAATGCGGAGGAAATAAGTGAAGGTGATTGTAATTTATATAATTAATGACGAAGGTTTCACAATTTCTCACTTCTCATATCTCTGTAATTTGTAAATTATTTTATATTCGACAGGGATGTAATAGCTTTATAGTGTTGATACATTGAACGAATCAAACCAATGTACAAGTCAGATTATAACAAATATTATATTCGCTCTCGGAATGTGCAATACATGTACTACGTTAACTAGTAAACATTTTTGCATAATAATTAATTCCATCAAATAAATATAATTTAACAATTAAAGAATTTAACACTGAAAGACTAAGCTCTGGCTCTAATTAAATAACATGAATAGCTGCTGTAATAATGGTGTACCAATTATGGCCTATTACTATTGTACTATATACTGATTAGTTAAACTATATATATATCTTTAATCACGAGACTTGCCGATGTCGCAATACGTGTTCTGCAGGGGGTAAAAGATTTGTATGTGAGTCGACTTTTTTAACTCCTCGGAGCTTTTCGTCTTGTGTACAATGAAGAAGTGCCTCGCCCGACACTGTTTTATACATTATCTATAAGTATATAACTTATATGTATGTATGTACATTATACAAGGTGACTTTGAAGTCTTCATGATACGATTTCTGCTGATTAACAATGACCCTGATTTAACTTACACAGAGACTTATTTTGTGATTGTGTTCTAATTATATGGTCTTTTTGTGACTATATGTATAATCCGCAGAAGTCACTCATGTGGTTAAAAGGAAATCCAAAGACTTAGTCCCTGTGTATAAATAATCATTTGATTAAAATAATTAAGTTATGTATTGTTACAATGCAATAGATAAACTTTAATACTAAGTATGTTTTGTTGGGCTATTCAATATAATAGTTAGATTATTTAATCAGTTCAGCGTTTAAGTATCCCCACATTTACATTGGACCAACGTTTTCATTGTACATTGAAATATATTAATGTTTTCATGACATTAGGTTAGTGAATCTGTCCGGTTTGAATATTTTCACGGAGTTGTGTAAATAAATATACGTACATAGTTAAATTGTATCAATTTGTACAATGTGTTACTGTCTTCGCAGTTTGTTGTGAGCGAACACTTATTGTAATAATATAAATGAGTAGCTATCCAACTTCTGTCTCTCTGTATCAATTAATAGACATTAATGTCGTAAATAACTGAATCGCCCTTCTTACATTTATACGATCGGTAATACCAGTGAGCTCTATTATATTTATTGATTATTTTCATAAGTATTTTTACATTATCGAAGTATGTGACCATCCTGAAGTATTATTTTGGAGGCAGCCAGAAGTGACCGAGCTAATGTTAGATGGGTACATGACATGTAAAACTAATGTTGTACCCCTTGTAATAGGATTGTAAAATAATATAAGTTATAATAAATTGAATAGAACTTGACATACATATAGTTATTTATAGATTGTTGGTTGTTTGACTGAAATGGAATGCAGTTTTATCTGTCACGGTGACATGTGTTATTAATTACTTATAATTATTATACCTACCTACATAATTATATATAATCTACATCGTTCATCCTTTTCAACAAACAGTAATTAATGACTGAACTGAGTTCTGCAGCTTTAAAAAATATATTTTTTGTAAATTGTTTAAAATATGAGACGGTAATATTTATCGGAAGTGGAAAAAGATTACTTGTACTCCCAATTATTAGATACAAGGTGAAACGCATTCCTAATATAGGCAAGTATTGAAACACATTGTGTTGATGGGTACACAACTATACCAGTAATAGATATAACTGCTAGAAAATACTTTAAGAAATTTCTTATTTATTATTAAAATCACGTGTATCGTGCCTATCTTGTTACATTTGGTCACTACGATGTTTCGTTATGCTCGTTACTTTGGTACCGGCGCCGAATCGTTTGTTCGCAGCCGATCGCGGCGGCAGCAACACATTGTTCGTCCAACTATTAATGTTACATTATTGTGATTGGGAATGTTAATGTTTAAGTAAGCACGTGTTGTAGTCCATTCCATAACTACGTAAGACTAAGGCTAGCCAGTCGACTGTATGCGCTGAAATGTGCCTAAACTATGATTGTGATCACTATCGAAAGTTAAATTTAAGTAAGTAGCTAGGTTTATATCGAGTATTGTAAGGGTGACGTTGATTGTTGCCTAACAGTTTGTTCCTCACGTCATATCATGAGTAAAGAGACAGTTGTTGTGTCTTGTATGTTATATTGTGGTACATTCACAACTCTACTCCAAATGTATTTACTCTATCAGACAAAATTGCACCTCGCTGCTATATTTCAACCTCGCTGCGTTTTCTCTAATGAATTCCGGCATACACATTTTGCAATAAATTAGCCAAGTTCACACACACATGTAGGTAATCCTGCAAAGTTCCCGTTTTAACGTAATTTTTTAATCCTATTTATACCATGAATTTGATTATGGCCAATATTTCTCAGGATTTAAATAATATATAAAAGCAAATTTCTAACTCGAGTAGTTCTTCGTTAGATGGCGCTAGAATATAATTTAATTAAATGTCTTACCGAGGTAATATTTGAAATGACAATGGATTTGTCTACTTAAGAAATGTAATGGTCAGTTTATGCAAATTGTGTATTCGTATTTCATGTAGACGCGCGATGGTTGTGAACTTTTTGTTTAAATATTGCATAATAATTGTGAAGAACTGGGAGCGACGCCTGGTGGTGCCGGTCACTGTCCGACGGTGAGTGAGTGCACATCCAGGCCGCTCTCAGGATTTTGTTTCAAATATTAAATATCCTTGTGATTATTAAAGTGTTGATCAAATGTTTTGTTTTATTTTAGCGTTGCTAAGTAGCCGCTGGCTATGTACACTAGTAATGGGCATTAATGCTAATTAGATTATGCTATTAATGCTATTATTTAATTAATTGTAAATGCTTATATCTTAGCATGTTAATTGCTAATGCTATTCCAGAACACATGAATTGACACATTTCCGATATCAACTGGCCACCAAGATCGTGCGATTTTTTTATTCGGGATTTTATGTTTCTCGAGTTTATAAACCAACCTGAGCTCAAATCACCGATTCAATTCAATATTTAATGAAAAGAGTAATGGCCTGTCATTTGCCGGATATTATATTCCATACTTAATCGGAACATGTCTTCTTTACAATATAATCAAAATATCACAACTCTTTCATAAAAAACGTGTTTTTATTTTAAAATGCAAAAATGCCCTCTTACTGAGACACCCTATACTTAGGTAGGTACACACATAAATGAAAAATACAAAAACAAAAAAACTTTTTATTGCGATTTACAGAAGGTATTATTTTATATTGATAGTGAAGTTATCAAAACACTGTTATAACTTAAATAGTAACTTATTATCATTATCTTGGTATCATTTAAAATTTCATAAGAACGACATCCCCTATGTCGCCAATTAAACGCTTAAATAACGCTGTTCCATCTTCGTGTTTTTGTCTACACAGTAACTGAATGCATCATGATTTCCTCTCCGCTTTCGTACATTTTAAGAACATTGATATGCCGCGTTCTTCAATCTATATGTAAAGTAATTTACAAGAATATTGGAGAAACGTTTCAAAGTAAAACGACATTTGTGTTCAAGGGGATCGCTGCTACTTAAAGTAAGTACATATAGTACTTATAAGTACTACCTACGTCTAAAGTTGATAGGTTTTTAGTAATGATCTTATTCATAAAAATATTATATTTCTTAAAAAAACACAATTTCGTTTCCGTATTGTAACATAGAGCATAAGTATATAGTATTTAGCGAGCAAGTGCGATCGAAAGATCGAACAAATTATTGACACGTTTATCGTTTATTTATGTAGAATAATATTATTTGTTGTGGACGATGCCTGGTGAGATAACAATAAGTGACCCTAGCACCGCTTGCTAACTGTATGCGCTGTCTCGTCTGAACTCCCATTGTCAATAACATGGTTCATCAAGTACTTTACACCTTTTAAATTAAATGGTAAAAACTATTAAGCTATAGGTTTGCTAATAGAATATCACGTACTCAGGATATGGCGCGGTTGTCACCCGCACAGTCTCTGCTAGCGCTGAGCCCCACCACGGCTCAGTCTGATCAACATGCAAGGTGACGTGGGTTCTTCTATATGTGAATTGCCGCATTTAGGCTTTTGAGTGGACGAAGACTTCTAGATATCGGCCAACATTCTCAGAGAGAGAGAGAACTCATTCGATTGACATCGTTTTACAGTACGCTTACTATACAACATCGGACCTCTTCCTCGCGAAATCGTCTCAGCGTATAGTGTATACTTATAGAACGTTTCAACGCAATCAATTCATTCACTCTGTAATTCTTTGGTTTCCATAGCTTCTAGTTCCAGGCGGTGTTATTTGATTTCAGAGATACATGCCATTGACAAGGTAGTCCGCGTCGTGAGCGAAGGGCGACTTGCCGCGGCGCTGCCGGCGGCGAGCCGCGCGCACTCGGCACCCGAGCATCACGGCCATCAGTGTCGTTAGCACCATGCCTGAAAATATGAATATCTGCGATTAGCACTTGTACGCCGGTTCAGAAAGGACACGTACCACAAAGAAGGTCCACAATCCTTCAAAACACTCAGATCGGAGCGGAACTGATCCACGACCATCGTTTAAAGAATAATAAAAATATGAAGAAGAATTAAGTTAGACGCTACCGATGGCCAGTAGCATCATAGCAGCGGGCGAGTGCTCACTCAGCCCGTCGTGGTCATCCATCGTCGCGTAGTGCTGATGCGCTGTCACCATCGAGATCGGCTTCTTCTCGACGCCATCTCCTGACGGCTTGCTCGCTTGTACCGTCTACAGACACACGGATAGACAATACCATATTTAAAAATATATTCTGAGTATGAAAATACTTACGAATTCTATTAGACACGTGTAGGTAGCACTTACTTTGTCTTTGACCACCTTTTTCTTGGTGGTGTTCTGAACAGGCGGTGGTTTCACCTCTTCTCGTTGGTCTATGTCGTTGTTGACGATATGGGGCGGCGGCTCGCTGGTATCTTTCGTCAGCAGCTCGAAGCCCTTCTTGGGACTGTCGCGCAGCGTATGCTGCTGGCTAGAATATTCTATTGGTATCTCAGGCATCGTCTTCGGAGGAATGTAGACAGGAATCTCCTGTTGGTTATAAAAAAATCGAAAGAAAAGTATTCTTGAATTGCGCTTTTGTGTTTCGGTTGTTTTCCATTTCAAGAAACCGCTCTCGTTATCTGCCGTTACCTGGTCGGAGCGAGGTGGTGGAACTGGCCAGGCTCGACGCGGGTCCGGCTCTGGCCAATCCACGCGCGGGTACCCGCCACCCGACCAACCGCGCTCCCCAGAAATCCCGTCCATTCCTAAAACCATGCTTCCATGAAACGCTCTGCTCTGTCAGTATATCAGCAATACACAGACCACCCGACGAGCTTGTCGAGGAGACTTCGCAGTATGCACAGCCTATGTTAACGCTCAGCTTAAACTAGTTACGGTCGTTGACTCCTGTCGTTGCCGGAACGTCGTACGTTACCGGACGGCGGAGACTGCGCAGGCCAGGCACGACGCGGCCAGGGTGCTTCGAATGGCGGGAACTGCACGGCACCTTCCGGCTCCTGCAGTAGACCTCCCTTGTGGCTAAAGATGTGGGGGCTCGCTCCGTCTGAGAACATAGTCAAGGTCCACTAAAGTAATTTTGTAATACTAAGAACGATTAGAAAATCATCGACAAACGTACCATTGTACCGATGCTGCGGCTGCGCCTGCGCAAGGCGGTGCGGCCAACGGTCGGACAGGGCGCCGGTATCACTAGCTACCAACCCCTCGCCGCCGCCACCCGGCTCTACGCTCTCCTGCACAATCATATTTTATTATTTGTTTACTAAATGAGTGGGATCAGGCAAGGATAACTTGTCATAAACCTAACAAGATGTTTATAGCAAAGAAATAATTAATACTTTGAACAAAATATCTTTTGGTATACAAGAAACGTTATATGAAAGTATGTATAAATAAATTAAAAATGCTGAATGTCAAAAATCTTTTAAATAACCTGCAACGGCTTGAGTACGGCTGTAGGAGGGGGTGTAGTTCGCGATGTCTGCACCGGGACAGCTACAGGAGGTGGCGGTGCTCGCGGCGCTTGGGGGGGCGGACAGCCCAGTTCCGGCGCTTCGTCGCTGCCATCGGCGCATTGGGCCACCCCGTCGCAAGCATTGTACACCGCAATGCATTCCTTCCCATGTCGACACTCGAACTGATAATGACTGCAGTGGCCTAAGGCACATAACACGTCTGGTAAGTACCTGTTCATATAACCATTCTTCAAGTTGTTTGGCATTTTATACACACATCATTTTATACGTCACTGTAAACGCCGACCTATTTATTGACACCATTTTGTATTTTTAGAGTTATAATGAAAAGATACAGACCGCCCGAGAAGAAACATGGCACCAAGAGTTCAACGTCAGTGCAAATTAATTCGTAATACATGATTTGTCATCAGTGGATAAGTTAATAAGGAAACTAACGTAGGTACTAATTATCATCGCAGGCGTTTCTAAAAATGTTTAATTCTAAACAGCATCTTATACGTATTAAGTTGTACAGTTAGTATGTAGGTATGTAGAAGTATTGTAAGTTATCTAAAGATGCCAACTGTCAATTTATATTGGAATCCCATAAGTTATCAAGACCATACTAAGCTTGTTGTTAAATATAAAAATTAAATCTTAGCAGAGCATATACTCTGGTATATTCAGACAGGTACCGTTATCATTGACGGTAGCTCTCAATAGTAGTCATTACTTCTTGTTTCAAGGCACAGAGAACATAAAATAAGTATGGCGTAGCGCGTGCGTGTCTCGATAGTCAGATCGCTTGAGAAGCATAAACCAAGCAAGTGCTCCGACATCGGGTGAGTCACCCGTTTGTGAAGTAAACATCCTATTGAATTCTCGTGAGTAGATTGCGGTAATAAACAAAGTGGTCCTTTAACCATGGGCCGGCTCCGCGGACTGCGGCGAAGGCGAATGGAACCACATGTGAACACAGAGGACGGTGGGCCGCGAGCGATGACCCCGGCGCGTTCGGACGCGACACCCGCATGACACCCGCTCGCTAATGACGCATCAATAACAACCAACGAGTCAGCATCATGCTTCCGCAGCCATATTAATTAACGTGTATGTACACATAGACCAATACCAATACATATGTATGTGTTTCTAATTATATATTGTTCTTGGTGAGAAGGTGATGGTCGAAAAGAGATTACTAAGTTTTTATTTGAAGAGAAATAAGAAAAATTAAAGGTTGTGCGCCAAGGATCATAAGGAAGTGTCGTCAAGAACCAGTTATATTCTCAAATACTGAACAAATAAACAGAAATCCCCTTTTAGAATTTTATTTCCTATTTAATCAATAACCTACTTGTTTGTCGGCCAATATCCAGCGTCGGTGTGGGTCGCGGAGGCGGCGCAGGCGCGGGCGTCGTCGCCGCTGTTGTACTTGCCGTGCTGCTTGTAACACTCCTTCGACCAAATAGTACATAAGTCATTTAACAGGAATAGTAAAAACTGCATAAGCCTCTGTAACTATTAGTAATATACAAAGGACTGCCTGGTATTACCAACAACGGTTATTCTGATAATCTCAAGAGTATCTACACTGTATTTCGGTAGCTACTACACTTACCGCAAGTTGGCCAGCTCCTGCTCATGGTGCGCCAGCCGCTCCTGATCCTGGAGCTCGGCGAGGCGGCGGCTCAGCGCGAGGACGCCGCTACTGAAGTTGGTGTGCGCCGTGAACTTGCAGCGGAAGTCTTCCGGTGGGCCGCAGTTAAACAGGTAACAACTGCCGGGTCCCTGTTGCACACGTCATTGGCAGTAACTAATATTAAATTGTTTATATGTACAGGAAGTTGTATTGAATAATATTTAGTGAATAATGCCAACTTAATATTAATGCTGAAGTTTGTCATGACTTATCGATTTATTCATATAGTTACTGCACTAAGTATGTGCAGTAAGTACATGATTAAATCGATTAGGATTAGGAGCTGATTAATGTATGACGTAACAAAGTACGCCTTCTGTAACAAATCCTGCCTGAGACCAAAGATACGGTTAATATTGCAAAAGAAATAATTAATCTCAGCGATCGAACGTTGCGGTTCTTTCATGTCGATTTCATTAAATAGGCAGTATTTCACACACTAAGGACGCAGACCGGACGTTACACGAATATCTAACTTGGGCGTGACGTACCTGTAGGTCACCAGGTCATCAAGATTATGTCGTCGTTCTAACAAAATGGCGTCCTAATATCGGAGCTTAATCTTTAACAACTCTAATTGTAGCCTGGTTTGTCCATAGACATTACATTGGTTAAAGAAAATTTACTTAAAATGAATTTATATCGATTACCTACTCGCTGCACTGCGCAGCAGTAATTATATTGCGCTGTACGCAAGTGCATTAAATGGCCGACAGATTGTGTGCACCAAGATGGACGACATCTGGCACCGACAATGACTAGGTATTCATTTTATTACATAATGAAACTTCAATGGTACTGGTTTGATGGAATCGACAACGTTAGGTACATTCTTCTCCATTCATATTATAGAAATAATGAAATAAAAAATTAAACACTGCAATTAAATAAGTGTTAGTTAGCCACACCCATTGGATGTTACAATGGCTGAAGAGCTTTGCCCGAGCTGAGAGTGGCAACTTTACCTTCTCTTCGTAGACAAAGACATCGCAAGCATCAGTTTCGCAGCAGAGCCGCAAACACTCGTGTCTCGCCCCGACGTCGAGCTCCGATAGGTACCGCGCACCCATCTCACGAGACTCCTCGGTGCGGATGATCTTATCCCGCTGCACGTCAAAACGCGCTGCGCACGCCGCCGGGTCCAGCTCCCGGGCTCCAGCTACGCCTGCCAGCAACGCCACCCACCACGCCCAACCGCGAGCACCCATCCTTCACCACCACTCTATAGAACTGCTAGTGTCGGCGACCCGGTTCCTCGAGTACTTGTAGAGACGAACGATTGTTTTAATGCGAGGGGCTGCGTCGTCCATGTATAACTTAGAGTGATTTTACTTCCGCGATGTAGTTCCTGGCGCAGACAGGAATTGACTAAAATTTCTCGAATGTGCAGCTCCAGCTATAGCGGAGCGCTGATGTGGCGATACAGGCGCGGTCGATATTATCGCACTTGCGCATTTCAGCCCGCGCACTGCTCCCGTGGTCGCTGGATGTGGCTACTAAATGAGTTACCTATAGAATCACGCTCGTAGTTTCTGCGTGTCGCGGATTGGTTAACTCAACAGAACGTGATACTTTAGAATGTTGTCTGTTGAGTTAAGCTTGTTTTGGTCTCACAATAACTGTTAAATTTTTATGTCATTATTATTTGCAATGACACTGGAAAGGTCTGCAAAGAAAAGGCGGCATCATTTCGCTCACTACTGTTTAAAGCTCTTTCTAAAGTGACTAAGGATGATTCATCAATTCACGTTCACTTCGATAGTATCAAGTAGCGATAATAACGGGCTTATTCCTAAATATACTAAAGTAAACTAGTCTTCAAGTATCTATAGATGCTTCTTTATAGGCGGACTTTCCTTACAGTATATATATTGTAGAATTTTGTATTTGTGAGAGATGATGAATGAATTGAATAATTATGGCGCCCCATCCTTGTTTAAAATTCTTCATTATCCCCAGGAAAAATATAATTTTGGCAAAGAAAACCTTAAATTAATAATAATAACTTGACAAATCTTACATACGGTAGTAAGGTCCCAAACTAGGCAGAGCCTGTACTATGGTAACCAGACTGCTGATAAACATGCCATATATTTCTAAATCTATATGTACATATTGTGGATGAATTACACCCAGACACAGAACAAATGGTCGTGCTCATCACACAATTATTTGCCCGGGACCCTGGATCTGAATCCCACCACCTCCAGCTTAACTTGTATTTTTCAAATTTTCCATTTAACTCTAAATTGTGGGGGGTCAACTAATAATGTGAAAACATTATTAGTTGAACAATATTATATGCATCGTAAGTCATTGAAACATATGTTTTAAAACTTAATGTTTGAACGCCTGTCTGTCTCATAAAAGTACAATAAATATTCGAGTCCAACAATGTCTATCTGACAAAAAAGAAACGGGCTCAATATCGATCTGTGCAGAGAGCTCATTTGCAACTTTGATTCTAATAAACTGACACCATTTCTCCGAACCTGTTTCTGTCTATTAGTCAGGTTAAATTCAGATATCATTTAAAATAGCTCCAACAGAGAGCGCATTAACAAAGTTCCTTCTGCCTATGTACCGCAGCAGCAGTTTTTAATTACACAGTTATTTTTTAAGAGGTCAGAAAAAAGGTCATTAATCATTTTTACTTATTACTATTAACCTGAATTATATCTGACTAATAGTGAAACAGTAAATCGATGAAGATGCTGTTTGGATTATAACGAAGTAGTTTGGAGTTTGGCACGATTGTTCAAATCCTTACGCGCATCCTACACCGTCCTTTACCGTACCTCATTGAGTTAAAACAACACTATATCAATGCCGTACCTTATAAACACAAAATTGACACAACATTCTCTTATCTATGACTACGTGTTTAAAAGTCGGTGCACAGGTTTACTTAGTGACTGAGAACGGTAGCTTCGTGAGAAAATGTATTGTTTTAAAACTAAATGCTACTTTGTGGGTATCACGAGCATTCGAGGTTATTAGTACCGTTAGCCCAGCTCCATATCTTGTCAACTATGCGTCACAATAACATGGTATGAAGGGGCAAAGTTTATCTTTATAAAGTTGTCTTGATCATGAAATGACTTTCGTTCTTAGAATTAATTTGACATGCCTAATAATAATGCTTTAGATCACTTTTTAAGCTTCAGAAATTTTTATGTTTCTCAGAAAAATCACATTTTGGATTATGGTGATGTATGCTATTATGACCTGAATGCATATCTATTCAATAAATATGATCGCCTTCTGAATAACTGCATTTGATTCATCTTGTGTCCACTCCCCGTTCCTAATCCAATCCGTACTCCTCTGGAAAGCTCTCCCTCTAGAAATCAGGACAGCAGCTCGCATTCTAGACACCCTAGCAGATTCATTACAACCTTAAAGTTTTATATATTAATAACATGTAAGTATTTATGTATGTGTATGTATTTGGTATGTTTGTATATATATTTATCTCATTGTTTCTGCCTAACTTCTCAAACATTTCCTGTTTCTTTACATATCAATCTCTAGTCACCAAGTCCCTAAGGTAGACTGGTAGAAAATGCCTGTGGCATTAAGTCAGCCATTGTACAACTCATACTTGTGCGTAAAGTATTAAAATAAATAATAAAATATCTTATTTTTTTCGGCTATATATATATAAGAGGTACAGAAATGTGGCTAATACGGGCCAACATTTTGTAGAACATTTTCATTTAGGTACGGTTAGCTGCGAAGTGTTACCTAATGCTTAAAAGTCTTATGAAACTGGCTATCATAAGTCAACATATTATTTATAATGCGACGAGATTAGCGAATTCATACAATCAAACAAACCCTTCATGTTTATTATAGTACTATAGACAGGTACAAGATGAAATACTTGAATGTTGACTTCATACCGTTGACTGGGAATTGTCGAAGCTATTGTGGCTTCAAACTAGTACCAACATTCTACATCTAATATTTAGGAAGTACTTAACCAAGCACAGGAAGAATCTGTGAAGCTTCGGTGATATGCAGTGAAATAATTACTTAACACCGGTTTTCTGTTAGGCCTTGTATCAGTTCGTTTGAGCCGGCCCTCGCGTGCCGATGCATGGCTTTGCCACAGTTAAATACGGAGTTTGAGCTTGATGATGATGAGATGTATAGCTCTATAATGACTGTTTAATTTTCTTGCTTTGAGAGTTAATTTTGAAACGTGGTTCGCATTTTTAAAGATCATGTAATGGCTCTCAGCGGATGGATGCGGGCTGCCCAAAATCGGGATGGTTGGCTATCTTTGGGGGAGGTCTTCGTTCAGCAGTCTGAAGAAGAGAAGAGATGGAATTGAATCTATATATAACGTTATAACGTTAACGTTCTACTTATAACGTTTTACACACCCATGTTAAATATATTTCGTTCATCTAACTTAGCCTCCTTGCGAGTTTAATAAGTCTCGAGCAGTCAAGTCGAATAAATATAAGTAAGCAAAATTTCTTGTAATCGAATGTGAAGGCGACCGAACTGGCCGCACCACGTGGTAGGCAGCAGCATCCTATGAAATCTGAGGTGAGGCAGCCGGTGGTCTCAGGGCGCCAGGGCAGCACGCACGCGCAGTGGCGGTCGCGCCGCGAGCAGGCGGCGGTGCGGCGCGGCGCTGAGCGGGCGCGGCAGTGTGGGCTCGTCGCCCGCCGCAGCCCCTCCGACCCCGCGATCACCGTTCGCGACACGCCAATCGCCACTCGCGCCCTCATGTCGCTGTTCTTCAAGTTCAGGAGCGGCGTGAGTACCCTCTCACCACCTTCTCCACAGCCAATCGCAATTTTAGTTAATTATTACAATTTGTGCGATTAGAGACTGACCATATATTTTGTGAACCAAGTTATCGCTTGGTGCGATGATGATAGATGCTTTCTGACCTTTAGGGTTTCGCACTTCAATGCAATTATTAGTTTCATTAGTTAACGCAATTATTAGTTTCAAAATTAGTTCGTATCGTGTTTGTTGAGTCTAAACATATCAGTCACCAAAAGCACCAATTATCCTAACACACGGCTTAATAGCGTATGTGTTGTCGTTGCAAACAGCGGTATCACAGCACCATCACCAAGTGGAGGGAAAGCGTAAGGGCGCGGTGCTCCGCGCACGTACTTGAGTCCGACCCCCAAGCGGGTCACAGTAGGTCGGAGAGCCACGCGGGGTACAGCTCATTTATCTTTCCACCATCAGTAAACTGGTGGCTATTCTGACCCAATATAAAACTTACAGAATGAATACGTAAATGTTACACTTTTATGTTTATGTATAAACGTATCGCAATTGGTACAATTGACAAGCACAACCAAACCCAACTCGGCACTTAGTTTAAACTTTTAAGTTCTGACCTTGTTGAGTTGTGATCACACCACTACTCCTTTATATACAAACCCCACACACATTTCCAGGCCTTCGGCATTTGTAATAGAAAAGGACTTTGTTCGTTGTTTCTATTAAAACATAATCCAGTAAATATGTGCGGATCGAGTAAAAACTTAAACACGCAATACTTATATACGAGTATTATTTTACAAGTTGAACATAAATCTTCTCTCTTGCAGAACAACCTTCGTGTTTCTTAGGTATTTTTGTATTTGCAGCACCTATATATATGAATACCTATGTACATGTAATTGTTTTATAAAAGAGTACGACCGTTCTCCAATGTATTGAGTAACAGTTGGTACACTAACAAACGTAACAAGGAGATCATCCGCGCACAAAGCCCTTTGTTACGAGTCTGTCTGTGCGTTGAGTTAACCGAGACACGTACCTAGCACTTTACGACAAACAGCGCGTGAGATTAAGTCGTAAATCTCCCACGAAATACCGTGTGTATACATATAAACGGATACGACATTGCTAGCAATTGTAACCAGTGTACCTTGGCTTTGGGATGACTTCAGGCATGGTACAGCGAAGCTGTTGTCTTAGCGCGCTTGTCTTGTTATTAAGAATATAACACAATGATACTCCTGAGCCTTGTGATCGATCGATTCTTTTCTAATCTGAAGATAAACAAAGTCTAAAAAAAATTCCTTTATTCATTGTTAAACATAGAGTTTTTAATGAAAAGGGTCGAAGATGATATTCGGTGTCCTTTCAATGATGTAGTCTATTCTTGAATATGTGTATTGTATTTCTACAAAACAAGGATGTTTGCAAACTAATGTCACCTAAACTTTACGATCTCTCGCGTTTAGAATACACTGGAACAACTGATAATTTGAACAAATATTCTTTTGCAGAAACTTCAAATTCTCTTTATAGCAGAAAGATCCTCTAATCACGTAAATATGATAATACATATATTGTTTATATAATTCAATAATCGATTCAAGAAACTTTTGAATAAGCATAGATAAAGAGCAACCAAAGGAATAACAATAAGGGGTGGGTGACCTTTGGTGTCGGACGAAACTTAGTAGACGAAATTTAGTAAAGCCATATTTCCTAAGCTACATCGGTCCTAATTTCAAATCTCAAATAATCCCTTATAATTTTATGTCCCTTAATAAGATGCCACATCCTCGTGCCATTTTTATTCTCAAAGATTTCTTTTCATTTCCATCCTCAGTCGAATTAGGTAGAAGGTTATTCGTCTCTTAGGTATAGATGTGCTGTGAGTGTAATGGGCGCGCAGTTACGTTTTCATTTTAAACATAACGACGACTCGACAATTACCTGCATTCACATTTCTAAGTACAATATTTGAATTCCTAATATAAATAAAATATTTGTTTGTAGAACTTTGCTATAAATGATATCAGTTGTGCCTCAGGAGGCCTCTGTGATTTGTTTAAATCTTTTGATGCCATTGATCATGGTTTATCAAAAACTCACATGGTTATCATACATTATAATGAACATTACACTCAATAACTTTAGGCATATCTTATCTGTAGTCACTCACAAAGACAACGAGTGGAATATCTTAGGTTGGATTAGGGGAAATCGTAATATAATAAATAATTATCTAACTTTTGTTTAATTTACGTAAATGACTTTCTTTATCTAATTAAATGTATTGAAGTGCAAGATAGCACTGTTGGTCATGCTTGTTGGTGTATGTGAACATCACAATCTCGATAGTGCGTCACTGGTTTAATTCTCAAACATTTACTTGAATGCTGCACAATAGAAACAAACGAGACACCTGTCCAGGTGCACTGAAAACTCTAACGTTTTGATATCTTATTATTGAAGGATCAATGTTTTCTTACTCAAACAATAATAAAAAAACATCGCGGTTTGTTCCTTACAATTCTATGATAAGATCTTTCATGAAAAAGATGAAATGAATCAAAAAAAATTATGTGTCAGCTGTAAAGTATAGATAGGCACAGGCAGACATAATGTTATCCGTTTCCAATTCTTTTTATAATTTTATATTTGCCTAAAAGCACAAACTAAGTATACGGTCTTATATATACTGTGTAGTATACTTTTATATTATATTTATATATAGTAATTACGCCAATACAATGATGTGAAACAATTTCTTAAATACTTATTTTATATCAAGGCTTTAGTTGCTTTAAAGTTCCCTACATGGCATTGTACATTGGCGAGGTATCATATCTAAATGAAGTAGATAGGAGAATAAAGAAAACTTGCTTATGGGTCTCACAAACATATCTTCAAATCCCAGATGAACATGAAACTTAAAAAGGCAACTGTTTGACTCTGTGGTTTTGCCCACTTTACTCTATGGATGCCAAAATTGACCTTTTACAAGACAAATAATTTATAAATTGGTAATTTTTCAAAGAGCCTTGGTAAAAAGTATGCTAGGAATACGATTATCCGATAGAATTAAAAATGTGGACATAAGATACAAAACTAAGTTATTGGATGCCGCCAAAATGGCTTGCCGCCTAAAATGGCGCTGGGCAGGACATACAGCAAGAACCTCAGATGACAGATGGAGTGAAAGAATCTTTCACTGGTACCCACGAGATGGACACTGTTAACAGTTGTGGGTATTATTTCTCACCTACGGAACTCAAATGGCGTTCAATGTAATTTTATTTATTTATTATTTATGGGTGGGCTGGATAGCATGTTCTAGTCCTAACCATTTTATAAATAATGTTTTTAGTAATTTTCAATGATTATAAATCAATATTTAAAAAAATAATGTAATTAACTGGAACACACATTTGTAATTTAAAATTTACTCGATATCGATGAAATTTATTGTAAACTATGAAACTGTATTATTGGGCAATAACTTACTTACTTATGTACATGGCGTTGTGCTACTTACCTGAATATAATATAAAAGTATACTACACAGTACATATGTATAAGACCACAAGGTCTTATACAACTAAGTGTAAACTTAGTTTATGGTCTTAGACAATATTCGACATGACAACCTCTTGTCGCCTTGACTTTGTATATGAAATCACCATCATCACCTACCCTTATCCCAATTTTATTTGGGGTCGGCGCAGTGAGTATGATTCTTCCATTCTACTCTATCATTCGTCATCTCACTGTTTACTCCCTTCCTAGCCATATCCTCACTCACACAGTCCATCCTCCTTTTCTTTGGTCTTCCTCGTCTCTTGTACCCCTGAACTCCTATACCTAATACTTTCTTCGCCACCTTTTCCTACATTTCCATTTTACATCTGAACTTTTCATCCAGTTGCGCTACTTTCCCTCCAGCCTCCCTCGTTTATACCCTTTCCTAACCTTGTCCATCCGAGTTACACCACACATCCATCTCAGCATTCGCATTTCGGCCACGTTCAGGCGTCTCCCATTCGTTCTCTTAATGGGGCAACAATGTAATTTGATTGCAGATTTTAATCCTACTCCGTAGTGTCTTAGCAAGATGATCGATAAATTTATTTTAATGGTGGCATCGGTACACAGAAGTGACATAAGTAAATATGTTTAAACACACAATTAAAACTGCTTGCGCGAGACGAGGTACGCAGAAATATCCAAGATCCATAAAAGAACCAATTTTCTGAAACGTGATACAAATAAAGCCTTAGTAGATCACAATGAATAAGGACTTTATTACTTGATATTTAGAGTAGCACGAGAGTACTTAACATCAGGTCGTTAGGCACAAATGTAATAAATCTAATAGATATTTGATTTCATTACTGTTTAGGCCATGACTTCAAGATTAAACAAACGTCTTTTTTTATACCAGTACCAAGCCGTTTAACTCCACTGTCTCCTTCTGCTAGCAAGTTATGCTTGCGAAACATGGCGGAACGGGACCGGGAGCGCTTTGGAACTCACCTGATCCGCCAGGCCCAGGAACGGGCCAGGTACCGCAGACGACTCAGGAACAAGACGGAGGTCGCAGCACGACCTCCGTCCTCCAAAAGTGCGATGCGTCTTCCTAGGGTACACCTGGTTCCCCGGCTACCGGTACCGGAGACGGCGTCGGCGTGCGGTTTTTACTCGGTTCGTGTCCGAAATAACCACTAGTGGGTGGTATCCGAGGGGATTTCCGCACAGAAAAAAAAGTATCAAGCCGTTTGTAAATTCACATTTGTAAAAGTTATAGTTTTCCTTAGGTCAAGCTTATTTAACAACTGTACTGTACTGCATATAATATGACCTCTCGGCGAGACGGGTTGTATACGATTTGTGTCGAGTTTTCCTTCTCCTTGTAGTGCTGTTTTCCTGCGTGGTCGGCTCTTACGACACCCACGATATGAATAGGGACGGAACGAATATCCCACTATCTATTGTTTAAGATATAATTAAACTGTAGGTTCAAAATAGTTACCTGATTTATTTAAAGGCTCCTAAGATGAAATTCCTTCACTTTGGATCAACCTACACGTCACAGAATTTATTTTAAAGATTTTGTTAATCTTGGATTTTCTTTCACGGATCTTTTTTAGTCAACTAACCCAGGCAAACAAGATTATCCTCCTAATTTGAACTTACGATGTGGATTATCTACTGCTTGCTTAAAGAATCGTACCCACCAAGTTAACACATTTAATATTGTAGGATATAATATGTGGGAATTTAATACGAAGAAAATTCAATAAGAACAGAAATAATTATAATCTACATGTATCCGTACATGTATTATTCACTCTTCTTAGAGAGAATGTGGTATTTACATGAAGACATTGAAGCGTGATTGTCAAATCTCTCGCCTCTTGGAGAATAACATGGTCTGGGTCCCAGAGGAGGGCGGGTTGGTTTTTGGTGGAACTACTTGCCTCCTGCGTCACCGAGGAGCCGGAGATCAGAAGGGGTTTTCACCTTGTCAACAAAAAAAAGGACAGCTTTAAATCAATCATGAAATCTTTGTAAGAATAAGCGAAAAATGCAAATTCACAAATCAGCAATAATTCTCTAATTCTTTGTAAATCAAAACGTGACCTGTTTGCATATGCATGTAGGTGCAATGTTGTGTCTTTTGTAGAAATCACTTGGAAATAAAAAAAACTAGGTATTTCAATAGGCATTTTCAAGAAGAATTCTATTTTCTCGGTTGAATCACAGTGGACTCAAATTCTTAGTAGGAGCGTTATCTGTGTTTAAATTTAATCATCATAAGTTAATCTATCCATTTAAGAACTTACCTACAGTTTAAGGTCGTTTTGTGTTTAAAACATTCAGCGATTCGAACCATTTCAAGTTCTTAAGGGTCTCGCACAAGCTGCCCCAGGGCATAGCTGGCACTATCAGCTGAGCGCGGCAGTCTGCCCTCGCGTCTCCGCTCCGCCCTCACACCCGACGAGGCCCAGCGATTCGTCGCGCGCAGTCTGAGTTCGCGCGGTTTATGGTGTGCACGTCTCTCTGTGTTCCGTCCGGCGAACTCGTAGTGTCGTGTCGGTAGTGAATGAGCTGTGCTGGTTCTCGGTGCTCGGTGCCTGGTGATCGGCTGTGTGCCCGTGCGGTGCATCCAACAGAGTCGACGGCGCCGTACAGCGAGTCAGAAGTGCCGCCTCCGCCGGGGGCAGTGACCGCCGCAGCGATCTCGGTACGGGCTCTGAGATGATCGCGAGCGTGACACACTCTCGTTGTTGTTTCAGTCATTTAAAAACCGACTAACGGTGACTCCGAACAGATACAACCCAAATAGAGTTGCCAAAGGTTGCAGCCCTCGCCCGTATCGCTCAAGTCTCTCAGCCCGGTAACGTACGGTATCGGATATTAAGGTGTCTATCATGTAGGAGAAGGCTATTTCGGTAGCTGGGTCATAGAAGCTACCGACAGTAACGAATTTGTATAGAATTAAGTAATTATAGCGTTGCGATCACACCCGTGACGTCCGTTTGGCTTCGATCAACAAGTATGTTGCAGGTACAAGTCCAGACCTCCTGTCGTCGATTATACAAGTTGCACCTACTGTGCAACTTGTATAATCGACGACGGTGCCGGCACTGATTGCTTGCATGTCCGTTTGTGTTGTGACACGTCCGTTCAATAATTTACCATTAGCTACAAAAATAACATAGAGCTTGTTTAAAGTTAGCAAGTTATTCGATCGTTTTTCGTGTGTAGGTGTAGGTACATATCTGAGCTACTTATTAAAAATATGAAGTGGCCGCCGCCGTGCAGTGATTCACCGATACACCGTTCCAAGTAGGTATATTAATATTGAGCACTTGAGCTGTTATCTATCATAGCTGGGGCATCACAACGATCGTTGTTGCACCGACAGGCTGATGCCTTGTCTCTGGCACACACCGGTGTGGCGCGTGTAATAAACCAATTAAAGGATATGGCTCGTAGCACTAATCTGGTTAAACAAGGTTGTCCTCGACCGCCGGCGGACATAACGCTCGACTTACTGAATTGCTACATTTTTCACCTGCAGATATTGTACAGAAGCATGTTGGTGTATTTCGCGGGCGAAAGCCAACCATGATACGTAACTCATTCCTAGGCACCGATAGTTCATTGTTTTAGATAACGTCGTTTTATAATTTCTCTCATTTTGTCGGTAGCATTATTACTTAAATTTGTAAAAATACGGAAAAATGGGCAATAACTTTGTTGCTACACCAAGGAAGGGGTTTCAGCGCAGTAGCCGCAGTCGGTGATCGGTTGGGAACAGCGTTGTTTATAGCACCTTCACGTTTATGTTTGTTGGTGAAGTTTTGTATTTTTGTTACGCGAATATTTGTATGTGTATAATGTTGCTTTTCGCCGGGTGAGGTTACCGGAGGCCGAACCTGTGAGTTTTAGGAAAGAGTGGGTCTCCAAAATTTTAAGAACGTATTCAAGCGACGAACTTAAAAGAAAGTCAAGTAGTTTAGACAATGTGAAATCAGGACAGTCCTTGATTTCGGTGAAGACCCTTATGCTTCAAATGTTCCGCGGGCACGGCTGTCACGGCTCATGAATGGCGAATATTATACGATATATCCATAGTAAGTTAAATAAAATATTTCTATACCATACGAACTCCATTTATCCTAACAGTTATACAGTAATTTTAATACTATCCTGTAACCAAATTCTATTAAACAGCTTTAGTCTCTATGTCTTTACGCCTCCCATGGCAAGTCTTGTGCACGAAAATTAACTTTATCTGTTTATCAACCACTTGTAATAGATTTTGGTGACCATATCGTTAAATACAACAATAACTACACGTAGCTAGATGCTAAGATAGCAGAGGGCTAGGCAATGTTACATTCTAGACTAGATACAGACAACTATTACCGGTAATAACATGTTTATTCTTCAGAGTTCGTAGGTAGGTACTCGCTTTTTTACGGGGCCCGTGTCTACCAATTCACACACAAAGAAATTGGCCACTTAATGTGCTATATTGTTGGGAATGGACCTCTCGTGAACCAATTCCAACAGACAACATAATTTTTGAACTTTCTCTCGGCTCTCGCGGTATAATTGTGATAACTAAATGTAGTAGTAATTCCAGCATTATTTCATTTTGCTGTATAAACGAATTTCGACAAAATCCAAGACTTTTGAACTTAGTTGAAGTTAGTTTATTTTTTAGTTTCATGTGAACTACGCGTTCGCTTTCACTTAAGTAAATACATGTATGTAAATATACTGACTGAAGTATTATACAGGGAGTATTATATTACTGATATACTATAAACTATATAAATACGTATATAACAATAAATTGATAACGTAATTAATTAACTTTAAAAAAGTATCATCGCCTTCATCATGATGGATAGTAATAAATTATATTCTTCATTCTTCCTAAATTTTTCACAAATTCTTTTTTTAAAGGAGTGGTCTTTGTTTTTATTTGAATAGGACGGGCAGTATACCCTCTGAAATAAAAAGAGAATTTTGCAAATTGGTAATTAAATGACAGAAACAAAAAATACAACAGAATTAAGAAACTCTCTCTTATTTTCGAGGTCGGTTACAAATACATTTTTGGTCTACTATCAAATCTAATATTGACATATTCTTGACGTCTATATGTGTTGTATATATATTTATCACGGTTTCCCAGCCGCGTACGGGTGATGTACGAAGGCCAATGTAAATGTTTATCCCTGCGTCATTTCGCGGCTCTATCGAAAATCCTTCTCATGTTCTTGTTAATAACATAACAAACACGCAGTAGCACTTATGTGAGCCACTCCGTCACTAAATGTCGAAATTATGTCTTATAATGGTACTTATGATAATTTTGAATTTGTGCATACATCATGCATTTCATCATTTCTATTAGATATTCATCCAATCCGTTTTTGATGTAGTGTCGTCATCTTGCGACTATTTCGTCATTGACTTTAAATTGCAGTAAATGTGTATTCATATTACGATATTCGTGTTTTATAAATAGTGTTGCGATACTTCAGACATCATTTTATATTTTCCAACGCCACTAACTCTCGGATTTCAAAGCTTCTCGTTTTGAAGAACTGTTAATGAGATACTCCGTTAGCTGTTGAGAATATGGATGCACGGATGGCGTAGTGGTTCAAGCGGTCGCCACGCCGTTTACTACTACGCTGAGTGTTGTGGGTCCGATCCCCACATGCTACGACACTTTGTGTGATCAACAAATTGTTGATCTGAGTCTGGGTGTTGTTTGTGTCCGTTTAATGTATGTTTGTAAAAGTCCCCCGCGACGCAGGATATTTTCCTAATGCGGGAGTTGTCTTTTTTAACAATAAAAAGAAAAAAAAAACACTAAAATGCACTACTATGCTTACATAATTATAGGATTTTTTTAGGTAAAATACATGTTGGCTTTTACGTAACGCACACGTAGCACCTAATTGATAAAAGCGATAAATTTATAAGAACAAAGATAATGTTTTATATCTTGTTAATTGATTGATACATAAAGAGTTAACAGAGAGCCTTAGCTACACACGTAATATATACAAAGTCCGTAAATAGACCCATTTGTGCGCAAATACTCATGGGATATTTTTCACATAAAGGCAGTGACACGTCCCGCCGATATTGCTCTCCATTTGTATGGCTCTCGTTAATCCAGATATTAGTGAAATTCGTCGCCATTTAAGGCCTCTGTTCTTGACTTATTGCTCTGTAATTGGGTAAGTTTTCATTAGATTAGGATTTGATGATGGGATCTTAGATAAATTGAAGGAACTCTTTGGATATTATCTATAGGCCAAGGCTAACTCGTTTTTTTGCTGTTGAAAAAATTATTTGGTAAAGTGGAATTGATGTTAAAGACCACAGATAGCCACTCAAACTAATCGATAATGAGCATATCACGGGTTGCGATTCGATAATTTTCACGTGGTTGTGAAGCAACTTAGTTTCTTATCACGATGCAAGTGGTGAAGTCTAAGAGTGATTAACATTTGACGTTGGGCTAATGTAGCTGAGATATATCCTACCCCCTAAGGGTGAACAATTAGGGATGTAGAACGCAGGATATTATAATTTATTAAGAGGTTACCCTTTCATTAAAGATAATTATTTTTCGTTGTGGTATGGTAGGAGTGCTAGCGGAGCGGCTAATGTGTTAACGCAACGTTGAACATTTGGTACTCAAGACGTCGTTTTGGTACATGGTTTTAACACTTATGTTTGCTCTCAAGTTAGATGTACATATTTAGGACATTCGCTTAACAACTAATGAAACTTTCTGAGTAATTTCATAATAACTAAGTACTAAAAAACACTAGCTACGACCACTATGTGAGAATCTTCACGTAGTATAAAATGAAGTCGCTTTTTTTTCTTGTACGCTTATATGTAGCTTTCAACGGCTTTTAATACGGTTTTTACCAATAGAGAGAGTGATATTATGAGGCAGGTATATATATGTATAATACACGTATATTATAGTGCCAAAACCTCCTTTCTAAGGAGAGGCTTATGTCCAGCAGTGGACTATTAAAGGCTGCTGATGATGATTATAGTGGAGAAAATCCAAGAACTTCAAAGGTTTGTATTGTGAAGTCTAAAAAAATATGTTTTTGTGCGCTTACATTGCCATTGCAAACGCTGGCTAAACCTTACGAGATAGATCAACATAATGTACTATGGAATACTATTCCATATTAAGATATACTATTTCAGGAATAGTATATCTTAAAAAGACCTACAAAAATGTACGTGATCGGATATTTCTATCTCCTAGGGATAATCCACAGCAACCATTTTTATCTTTTACATATAACAAAAATAATGGCTAATTTACGAAGCTATTTTGAACAATACTGTATTATTCCTTATCCAAATAAATATGTTAGGTACGCTGTGCATTTAATGTACTTAATATAAACGCAAAATTTACAGCATATCATTAAAATGTATATCCTAGTAGAAATCAGAGATTTAAAATGCAGGGGCAAGTAGATACCACTAATACTACTAATGTGGTGTCAGTGTGGAGTAATTAATTATACTAATATCTTCTACAATATTCATTTAATGATATATAGCAATTTTAATCTACATTAAATGCACAACGTATTTAACGTATTTAATTGGATAAGGAATAATAATGTATTGTTTAAAATAGCTTCGTAAATATATATATTTTCTATCTTTAGGAGATAAACAGATACCATCGTGAATTTTTAGTTAATCTCTTTAAGATATACAAT